CCTGGTCCTAAAAATATTTTTCCTTAATTTAACTTTGTCCTCTGTTCTGCCAATACCTTCACCAGGTATAAGAGACACCAGACATTTCCATGCCACAAACACTGGACAGGAGCAAAGAGACCAGCTATGCCAGGATGTGGCCAGCACCCAGCCTTTTTAGGTTCCCCCCAAAGACGACACCCACAAATAAGCAGGAAGCAGTCTTGAGAATCCGCCGCCCCAATTCCTTTGACCTGTGGTGCCTATCCACCCACTTTTTTATTATAAAAAAGAGATGGGAATGTAATGGTTGTTCTGTCTCTTTAAGAGACAAGCCACGCCCACTCCCTCCCCCATCCGCTGAGGCAGGCTGATCTTCAGCTTCCGGCCTGAACTTGTTCTCTTTTCCTCTTCTCCTCAGAGAGGCAGCTTTGCTTCTGCCTCTCTCCCCACTTCTCCACTTCCCCCCTTCTCTGTCTCTTTCTCCTCTCCTCTTCTCTCTCTCTCTTTCTCTCTCTCTGCCCTCTTCTCCCTTCCCCCTCCACAACCCACTGAATAAATATTCAACTTCATTCTGCATGTCATGTTTATCCATGTCTCTGTCTCCTGCCCGCCCTCCATGTGTCTCCCTGCCTGGGACTAGCCATTGCTCGGGGACCAGCAGCCGTTTCTGCCTGGGACTGGCTGCTCCCAGGGCCCCCACTGTCTGCCACCACATGGCCTGCTACCATCATTTGGGACCTACAGCATTTCTGCTGCCTACTGCCACTGGGGATCTTGCAGCATTTTTTTTTAAAAAAAAATCATAAAAAGTGGGGTTTCAGCAACATGTGTGGATTGACTGAGATATTTGGCAAAGGTGTTATGAACCAACAGGCAAGGAACAAGTTGCCTATATAATATGGTGTGTCAATTTATGCAAAGACATTTGAATATTATTCTGAAACCAAAGAAGTTTGTATCACTCGGGTGTCTCACTAGCTCAGAACTAAGAACTAGACGTTTATTTATTTAGGGGTAGACTCACAAATCAGAATCCTCTGCTGGAACAGAGATCTTCTTTACCTTTAGGACTCCACAGATTTCAGTGCTGTCTGCAATAGGGACCCACCAGTTGTCCCACGTGGCCTTAAAACTCAGGTTTTACTACTCTCAACCTTGGCTAGAGAAGTCTTTCATTGTAGTAGGCAGCTAATGTAGAGACTCTTAACTGTTTGCAAGTTCTGACAGTGACTATGAACACTCAGCTGTAGATGGGCTATCTGGGCCATTCTCCACCCCAAGCCTCGGGGAATAAGGTAGAAAAGGGGAAGAAAGAATGTCAAAGCCAGGGGATGGGGAGGAACGCTGCCCTCTGAACAGGACATGACTGTCACAGAACCTGTGCAGGACCTGACAAGATCATTTCAGTAAAAATTTTCAGGATGGAGTAGGGAGGGGTTCTTAAGGGCCCCACCCCACCCAAGGACCTACTGTTAGTTGATGGCTCACAGGAGGAAAACTCACTTTTCTTTGAGGGGTGGCCATTGAGAGATTCCTCAAATACCAATGGATAACCCAAAGTCAAGCACATAAAGACAGCACTAATTGGATACAGTGGATAATTTTTTTAAAAAAAGAGGGCTTAAAGGGAAACAGATATTGGGGAGGTCAGACAGAGGTAAAGGAGGCATGGGGGGGCTAGGATTAAATACATTGTACACTTCTATGAATACTTCAGAGAGTAAATAGAAATTCAAAAAAGAACAATAAATAAAGAGCTTACATTTTAATATATCCTTAAACCTTACTTAAATTTTAAGCTTTGCATAACCTTTAAAACTTGCAATTTTTGCCAGTGGTGAAGGAGGCAGAGGCAGGCAGATTAGGAGTTCAAGGCCAGCCTGAGCTACACTTTTTTTTTTAAAGAACAACAACAAAAAACCGGGCAGTGGTGGCACATGCCTTTAATCCCAGGCAGAGGCAGGCAGATCTTTGTGAGTTTGAGGCCAACCTGGTCTACAAGAGCTAGTTCCAGGACAGCTGGCTCCAAAGCTACAGCATGAGACGTCTACTTGGGGAGGGAAGGGTTTATCTGCCTTATATTTTGCCCCCACAATCCATTATTTAGGGAAGTCAGGGCAGGAACTGCAGTAGAGGTCATGGCGGGTGCTGCTTTCTGACTTGATTGTCATGGCTTGCTCAGTCTGTTTTCTTATTCACCCTGGACCACCTGTCCAGGGGTGACACTGCCCACAGGCCTGGGCCCGACCATATTAACCACTAATCAATGAAATGCCCCACAGGCCCATCTGATGGAGGTGACCCTCAATAGAGGCTCTCTCTTTCCCGGTGACTGTAGCTTGTGTCAAGATGACAGTCAGTGCGGATCCCTAGTGTATTTCAGAAGATAGTTCTGTCCTGGGGGCTAGACTATGACATGTGCACAGCCATTCCATTTCCCCACCATCTTTACTTTGTTCATAGCAAAGGGCGGCCATAATAGTTAGCCTAGGACACCTAAATGGAAATGCCAGAGGATATGTGCAGCCTTCTGAAGGTGGTTTTCCTTTCTGATTTAAATTGGCAGGTCCAGCACACTTGGCTCTTATTCTCCCCAACCCCCTCATTTCTTCCTTCAACACAGATTCCTGGAGACACAGCAGTTGTCTTCTGACCACGAGGTAAAGAAGCAACAGGAGAAAGGCAAAGCGATTGCAGAGAGCAAGACCTTCCTTAGCTAAGCTGTTGGAGCAACGTGATGTTAGTTAGCTGTTTCCAGAATTCAGGTTCCGTGCAAAGAAGCTTCACTTGTTTAAGCCACCATGACAGGTTTTCCTGAACGTCCTAGTACCTAGTCTGTGTAATAAGTAATAGGTACCCTAAAGACAAAAATGGAGGCGATCCTTGTGCTTGGACATTTAGAACTTGCTGTATCCCAATCCTAGCTCAGGTAGCGCCCAGAGTCAGGCCCCTTCCTGGGTACCAAAGGATTCCTGCTACACCTGTCTGGCTTAGCCTGCTGGTGGCCAAGATGTTCTGTCTGGGCTCTGGAAGGTGCTGGCGGCGGGTAACTCAGGAGGCTGCTACAGTAGGTCAAGTGTGGATGCTCCTAGGTGTGACTTCAGGTGTGAGAGGGCGGAGCTGAGGGGCTTGATGGGATGATCTCACTGCAGCTGCTGGCAGGCCAGAGGAGGGGTGTGGCCACTTAAGGAGCAGTCACCACCCTGACCTCTTTGGTTCAGAGTTGGCAGTGGAGTGGGGCACACTTCCAGTTCCTTCTGAACTACATCCGCGAAGCTCTACACATTGGCCAGGTCCATCACCCGCATGACAGGATGGGTGCACTTAGCCCCATGCTGTGGATAAAACAACCCGGGTGGGTGAACCCTACCCACAGCCCTGTTGTCAGCCTGCCTCCGCAGACTCTAATGCCTTCACGAATGCGAAGTGTTAAGATGGAAGATGCTGGAAAGTCAAACCTAAGAAAATAGAGCAGACAGCAGCTTCAGTTTGTCTTCAACAGTAGTGTCCCGTCTGGAAGCCCACGTCACAGTAACACCTCCTCTCGCCTACCAGTGTTCTTCCTCCACCTCATTCCTCAGCTCACTCAGGTAGCTGAGAACACTGATTAAACAATGAGGATGGAGAGATCTCTCAGTGCTGAGAGCACTGGCTGCTCTTCCAGAGGACCTGGGTTTTAAATACCAGCATCTTCCTGGCAGCTAACAACTGTAACTCCAGCTCCAGGGGATCTGATGCTCTCCTGTGGACTCCGTGGGCACAAGGCATGCATATGGTGCATAGACAAACATGCCGACAAAACACCTAGGCAGATACAATAAAAAATAAATCTTAAGGCCAGCTGGTGGTGGTACCCACCTTAAATCCCAGCATTTGGGAGGTAGGGGCAGGCGGATCTCTGAGTTCAAGGCCAACTTGGTCTACAAAATGAGTTATAGGACAGTTAGGGCTACTCAGAAAAACCCTTTCTTAAACAAACAAAACAAAACCTTAAAAAACAAAAAGACTGGTTTTATACATTAAATAGTGTCAATTTGAACTTGCAGCTCCTGAAAATACCCACAATACCACAGGACTTTCTTTCAAGATATCCTGAGTAGCTCTCTCTGTTTTAATAAACACTGAACCGTTCTTCCTTCTCCAGATGTAACCCCATCCCCTCTGGCCTGTGCATGCTGTCTGTATTCCAGATTGTAATCCTGTTCTTTGCTTACTAACAGAATTTCCCTTACTGGAGATTTGCCCCCGTAGTTTTATTTGACTTTGACACTGCTTTAGGGAGCGGTTGACAGGGAGAATCAACATGGTCTCCTGTCAATACCCAGGAGGAATTAAACTCCTGCCCATAGACATCTCTGTGAGAAATTATGAAATTGTGCCTTATAAGTCATTCCCAGATCTCTGTCTCTGTGTGTGTATATGTGTGTGTGAACTCTCATGTGTGCACATGTAAAGATCCATATCCAGAGCTTTCTTCTATCATTCTACTTATTTAGTGAGACAGCATCACCGAGCCTGGAGCTCACCGACTGAGCTAGACCGACTCGTCAGTAAGAACCTAGGAGCTGTTTGTCTTCACTACCCTTGCCCAGAAGCACTGGGTTCTAGTTGCAGGCTGCTTCTCTTGACTTTTCCATGGGTTCTGGGGTTCTTAGGTCCTCATACTTCCACTGTAAACACTCTTCTGATTAAGCTATCTCCCCAGCCCACCCCCAAATTCTTGGCCCTGACACTATTCAATCATAATAAATATTTAATGTGCTTTATTTATTTACTTTCTTTTGGGGTCTTTGAGACAAGGTCTCACTTTATAACCTTGGCTGGCCTGAAATTCCCTGTGTTAACGAGACTGGCCTTGAGCTTGATACAAACCTCTGGCTTTTGCCTTCCGAGTGCCCAGAATTATAGGCATGTGCCACTGTGCCCAACCCATTTTAAGGCCTCAGTTTAGGAGGTCATTTGTATATAGCAATAGACAGCAAACATATTCACTACCATAGAATTACACATCCTCTAAACAGGTGATTTATTTGGTTCGTAGTAGGTGTTTATGAGTATTGTTATGAGAGGCACAACAGTAACAGAGGCTGATGGCTCAGGAGTTGCCTCCCCCTTGCTCTCCTTTCTGAGTTGGCGCTATGCAGGCATGATGATGCTGGAGGCACGGAAGCTGCTGTGGGCTTTGCTGGCTGGCAGGGGTTAGATTGCCCGAGTTCCTGTGTAAGGCAAGCTTACACCTAGAATGGTTGTCCCCAGAAGGCAGTGTGTGACTTGCAGGCGGTGTTGGGGGCTCACTGCGTTTCCATGGAGATTGTCATCTTGTTAGGATGGGCTGAGGTGAAGCAACTGCCCGGTCTCCCCTGCTCGCACATCTGCGCTCTCACTCCATGCAGCTCACGAGTGAAGTTCTGTTTGAAAACTATCTCAGTTATGAAGTCTTCTCGCTACCAGGGCTTCGCCTGATGCACAATTTGTGGGGTACCTCGAGGGTCCTGGGGGACTTGGGTGATAGCTACAACCAAAGTAACTGAAAGTGGCTGAAAGAAGGGGTTCCCTTCAGAAACTCAGAGACGTGGGTTGAGGTGCTCCCTTGGGTCTGGGAACACTGAGTACTGTCTGTAGAACACTTGGGCTTTCTAGAGAACCCTCAGCTAAGATGTCTACCTTGCCAAGCCTTTGGTTTCTAGCAAATCCTTTCTGGCCTGGCTTCCCTGACTTATGCCTGCTAGGAGACATAAGAACCACAGCCTTCAACGACTTTTAGACAGGAAACAGGTTATCCAGCTCCTTTTAGATTTTGGTTCATGAAAAAGACTTTTCCTGTCCTGAGCAATCCTCAAGTTTTCTTCAGTTGGATCAGAACAACTGTGTTGCCTGTGTCCCTTTGTCTGGCTGCTGGAGGCTCCAGGGTAGTTTCTGTGCTTAACTGGTATCAGCTTCCCCCAGGCTGGGTACTGGGTATCACCGACCTTTCTGTCAAGAGGGCTCTAGTGCATCTGCCTCTTTTCCTTTGCTTGGAGCTGCTATTTGAACCTTCCAGCCTCCTTTAGATAGGGCTGGTGTTTGAAATGTAGGAGCTTCCACACCATAGTTCTGCCCAGAGGGGCCGCAGAAACTGGCTTCCAACTTGTACACCATGAAAAACGTCTCCACCTCCCAAGTTGGGAGCCAAGGGAAACCACTACTGTGTAGGGTCCAGGGTTGCCTGAACAAGACACTGGGAAGGAAGGCCAGTTTGAGCAAGGTTTCAGCTCCTCCCATACCCCAAATCATGGGAAGCCATTGCCCTTCCCTTTGAATAGTAACAAGTTCTGAAGCGCAAGGATCAAAACTCATGTTACATGTGTGATATGGGATCATGCATGTGTGTGAGAGAGCCTGTGGATCAAGCCCAGGACTGGGAGACCCACAGATGCCAGCCCTCAGTTGTGAGGCCTCCGGGTACTCCTTCCAGAAGCTGACCTGCATGTGTCAGCCTGAGGCTGGGGTTGGCCAGAATCTGGTCTGCCTCTCGGTGGCAGAGATCCAACACGGTGCTGTGGAGCCCTGCCATCAGTGCTGGAGCTGCCAGGGCCCTGCGCTTTCTTGTCCAGGGTCTGGATTTGGCTGGGAGAATAAGATGCGAGCTCTGGAAAACAAAGACAAGAATGAAGATGTAGGAGATTTTGTTCATTTTCAGTCGAAGCGTCGGGAGGTGCCCCGCTGTATCTCTAGGTTCTAGTCTGCCATGAGAACGGTCAGATTGCCCTGGTATCTGATTTGTTCTCGAATAGGAAGAAGTTTGGCTACTGGCTGGGAAACTAGACTCTGAACTCTGGTCTTAGGCTAGCGATTTTGCTTGCTTGGTTGTTTTGTAGATTTCTTTAAAAAATTTATTTATATTTGTGTGTCTTTATTTATATGGATTTGTGTCTGGGGGACAGGAAACGTCATGGATCCCCTGGGGCTGGAGTCACAGGGGTTGTAAGCTACAGATTTTGTGTGCTGGGTGAACTTGTGGCCTCTGAAGAGCAGTAAGCACTCTGAACTGCTGAGCTATCTCTCCAGCCTCAAGGGTAGAGCTTTTATCCTAGGTTTTCCACAATAAAAACCAGTACAATAGTGACAGAAGCCTCTCAGAGCAATGGCCAGGTCAAATCTGACCCATGGAAGGAAAGAGGCTACATTAACTCTCAGAGAATAGCCTGATTTCCAGCTCCTTCACTTATTCAACTTCTCCCCTCCTCCTAATTTCAAGATGGGGACCTGCTCCTTCCTAAACTCAGTTCCTCTTCTGGAACACAGAGGTAGACCATGCTCCTCTTGTGGAATTACAGCTTCCCCTACCAGCTATGTCTTCTAGACTTTTCGTCTTTCAGAAATGTGATACAGGCAGAACCGTGGGATGGAAGAAGTCATGCTCTCCTTCCGAGGCAGACAAGCATAGGGAGGGTGTATTATACTGGGGTCCTAATTAGTTTTGAATTAGGCATGCCACACCCCCACTTGTAATAATGCAGTTGTCGGGTTAGTTCCTTTATCTCATGTACTGTTAACACTGCATCTTTGAACAATGCATGTGGCAAACAACCCCTCTCTGAACGATAGTACACATTTTCCTGGCCCTAACAACAGTTACATTTAGACAGTTTCTGTTCATTCCCAACCTATCTGAGTATGATGAATAGAGGAGCTAATCCATTATGAATTGTTTTGGGCACATGCATGGTAAGGCAAATATTTGTAGTAGAAAAAATGAACATGTGAATTAATCTATAAATAAAATAGAGAATCCATCAAACTGTGCCTCTTAGTAACCAGCTCCTCCTTTCCCAGAAAAGAGAATCCAGGCTGTATGCTAGGGCTGTGGGATACCTTCACTCATGTGCCTTGCTGTCAATCCTTATTAATATTAATATTTTTGTTTTTGAAGACAGAGTTTATCTGTGTAACAGCCTTGTCTGTCCTGGAACTCACCTTGTAAACCAGGCTGGCCTCATGGCCTCAAACTCACAGAGATCTTCCTGCCTCTGTCTCTCAAGTGATGTTGGATTAAAGGCCTGCATCAATCTTTATTTACAGTGTATCCCTTTCTAATCTGTACGGTTGCTTCTCTCCAAATAAAGCTATTTTTTTCCTGTTTTTGTTTTTTTGAGATAGGGTTTTTCTGTAGCTTTAGAGCCTGTCCTTGAACTAGCTCTTGTTGACCAGGTTGGCCTTGAACTCACAGAGATCTGCCTGCCTCTGCCTCCCGAGTGCCGGGATTAAAGGCGAGTGCCACCACCACCCGGCATAAAGCTCTCTTAGGACTTGAGTCAATCTGTGTGAGCCCTTATTCTCACTTCTTTGGCTGAGAGGCCCAGAACCTGCCAATGCCCAGCCTTAGCCCCTCACCACTCATAGCAGCCCCTGTGTTTGTGGCCACTAACTAGAAACACCCACTTGGGTTTCGCATTGAAAGATATTTTGGACCTATTTGTTATAGCAGTTAGTATTATTCTGGTTAGTCCTCAGGAAATAATGGTAAAGAATGCATGAAGTGCAACTGCTAATAAATTGGTACACATAAAAAATTCTAATCTTCAAATTATTAGTCATTTTGTACAATTCTGTCTTCCAAAGTCAGCACTGTTGTACAGTGGTACCCTTTAAAACAGAGGCGCTCCTGAGACAAGACAACCTCAGACAAGGTCCTTTCATCTTGCCCTTTCCTCTCCCCTGTATTGGAGCCTGGTCTATCTATGACCATTCTATAGGGATGTGAGACCCTTATTCCATCCAGTATGTCTCTTAAAAATTGTTTATTATTATTATTTTTTTATTATTTATTTTTTTATTTTTATTTTTTTTGTAATTTTATTAAATTGTAAAAGTTTCCATTTCTGCCCCTCCTCCCTTGTTTATTATTATTATTATTATTATTATTATTATTTACGCGTGTTTTCCCTGCATGTGTGTCTATGTGACATGTGCATGCAGTGCCCAAGGATACCAGAAGACAGCCCTGGACTGAGAGCTGCCATGTGGGTGCTGGAACTAGAACCTCATCCCTTGGCAGAGCAGCTGTGCTCTTACCCTCTGAGCTGCTTCTCCAGCTCCAGCAGGTCTCTGCTGGAGAAACTACAAGCGACCCCCTCTAGCAAGTACTTGTCAGTTTATTCTGTATGCCAGGGGCTCCGCTAAGTACTTCACATGCTCTGCTTTCGTCATCACCAGCCCATGATGTAGGCCCTTCGTATTGCTAAAGATCATCAGTGTCCCCATCTTAACCCCACAACAGACCAGTTCCACATCAAGTGTGCTTCACAATTTTCATGGGGACTCGGGAAGAATTTACCTTCCTCAGTGAGTTGTAGCTGGGTGGTACTTTTGGAGCTGTTCTTAAGTATGTCCTCAGGATTGGTGATTATGGCTCTTCCTTTGATGGATTTATGGTTCTTCTCAACTTCACGGAGCTGCAGAAGGAAATGAATTATTTATGCCAGCGAGGGGCATGGGTGTCCTATGCTTAGAGTCCTGGATCGTGAACTGTGAGCTAGGACTGTGTCTGTAGATCTTGCTGGTTACCTTCAGCTGCCTCTTGTTGGTTCCAAGGCTAATTGGAGAGTGCAGTGTGCAACTTGGGGTCACACCGCATTTGACGGGATATCTAACCTTTAACTCAGTGTTCTCCTGTACCTGACCAGGAACCAGTGAGGCTAACAAGAGAAAGTCTGGTTGGAGAATGGGCAGAAAGATCCATGTTAGTTCCAGAAGCATGACAGGAAGTGAGGATGGCAGGACTCAGAGGTTATTAGAGTTTGCCAGAGAAAGAGAGAGAAAAAGAGTCTGTCTTGCGAGAGCGAATGGTCAGGGTATCATCTGGGCTGCTGAGAGAAGCTGAGGAGACATCCTAGGCTGAGGATCAGCAATGTGTTGTTTGGCCATTTCTTTTAGTATTTACACTATTAAGATGACTAGGGGTTTTTTTTTTTTTGTTTTGTTTGTCTTTTGTTTTTGGTTTGATGTGTGTGTGTCTGTATGTGTGTGCATTGTGTATGTGTGTGCAAATGTGTGAGTGCTAGTGGCTGACTACAGAGGCTTGTGACTGCTAAGCACTTTCTCTACACTAAGCTGTGCTGTCAGCCTCTCAGATGTTCCTATTACATAAGCTCGCTGTTGAACCCTACAGGGCTGCTCCTTGTAGGGCAGGATTTTGGATTTACCACATCAGAAACCCATTGGGAGAACACACCGGAGATCACAGAGCAAATCCGCAAGAAACAAGTACACCGCTAAGGATGTTGCTCCAGAGACTCACCGCTTGGATTTTCTTTCGCAGCTGGGCATTAGCTCTGGAGAGACTTTTTGAAACTGAATTCAGGTAGTAGATGGCCAGACTAAAAGAGAAAAAAGCATACCTCCTATTTTCCCGTGATATTAGAAAATGGTAAGAGCTCAGTGGTTTTTCTAGGGTCCCAGGATTACCCAAGCTTTTCCTCTAGCACGACAGAGCTGGCTCTGCCACCCTAGGTTGTCTGCTCGCATGGGGCGGATTCTGGACACCCTCTCTATTTTATTGAGTGTAGGCATGACCTGTATATGTCTAGTTCTCAGAGTGTTCAGTAAAGTTGGTAGAAGGGATCACCCTGAACCCAAAGAGGTAGGGCGTAGCAGGGTTTCTAGTCTGCAGAGGACGCTGCGAGTGTTCCCTGGTAGCTGCCCAGTAGCAGGTTGTGTCACAGTCATCCTCATCTCACTGGTGTTGATGAAACTTGATGAAGTCGTGCTGGGCACGGCCTGGAGGCCGCTGAGGATGAACACCTCCTTCAAGGTCAGCTTGGGTCCATTAACTGAAAGCTACATCCCCCTGGTCAGTAGAATGGAATCCGAGTTCTACTTCTGGCCCCGAGTACGGACAAGACATTCAAATCGACTCCAAAGATTAAAGCATCACAGTTTATTGTCAGTTTCCTTAGAAGTTAATCTAACTGGGTCTATCAGTCGTTTGGATGGGAGACCAACGTACAATGAGGACGTCTGATTCATCTAGAGACACACCGAGGAGACGGAGGAATGATTCTGCCCGCAATGGGACAATGTGCTTATCCAGCCCTCACTTACACAGTTGTTACAGATCTTAACTGATGAACCTTAGGACTTTTTGAGATCTAATTCATAAGTATAATTTTTCTTTCTTTCTCTTTTTTGGCTACCAAATCAAATTCTAAACATGCTTGCTCTGATATTCTGGGCTTCCTTAAGTTGTTTTCTCTGAAGATAGCCTCCCACCCACCCCTGCTTTCTGCAGCTGCTTGTAGACTTCCATTGGTGACCCAAATCAAGTCTTTTTTTCTTTTCTATCTTCCTCCCTCAGGTAGCTTCCTTCCCCGTTTTTCTCTCTTTCTCTTTCTCAAATGCTAGTAAAGTTGTTCACAAATTTCCTTTTATGTTATCTATTTATTTATTTTGAGTCAGGGTCTAACTTTGTAGCCCTGGATGCCCTTGAAATCACAGAGTTCTGTCTCCCTTCCCAGTGCCGGGATGAAAGGTGTGCACCACCACACCCAGTTCTGAGTCAATTTTTGAAGCTCCCTCCCATCACTAGTCCAGTTCAGTATCAGCACAAATCCTTTCTCAGTCTTCTTGAAATCTCTTGAACTCTGCTGCAGCCTCTTTAATTTATATTCTATAAAGCATATAGCTGCATATAGATATATTACTGTGTACTATATGATATGAGAGTTAATATTAGTAATTAAGATTGGAATAAGAGAACCTATTTGCCTTGATAAGGTTGACATGATAGGCAGGATTATGTGATAAATTGCTCTCATGAAACAGCAAAATCATAAAAATTTACTGTTTTTCAATAAATTCTCACATTGTGGAATGTCTTGCAATCACAGTATATAGAAAAAGGAAAGACAATGATAAAACCAAATCTAAGCAGTATCTATCTACAAATCCAACCCTACAGAAGGCAAAAGAAGGAAAACTTCAACCTGAATAGGTTAACAACATCTAAGAAAATGCAAAGAATAAATAATATCAGACCTGAAAATCAAAAGAAGTTCAAAACAGCCAGGCGGTGGTGGCACATGCTTTTAATCCCACCACTTGAGAGGTAGAGGCAGGCAGATCTCTGTGAGTTTGAGGCCAGCCTGGTCTACAGAGAAAGTTCCAGGACAGCCAGGGCTGATACACAAAGAGACCCTGTCTGGAAAAAGAAAAAAAAAAGAGGGAAAAAAATAACTCATACTTTCACTAGTTTGATAGGAAGCAATGTAGAGAATTTTCCTCTGGAAAGACATATGATTTTTAAAAATAAGTAACCAACTGTGCCTTCTCCCTTGATTGATGCTGAATTAGCATTAGCAATGTCTGCACTAGGGTATTAAAAACAAGTCAAACTTGCTGAGCCATTTCTGAGTATTTGACAAATCATTTAATTTGAAAAAGATAGTTCTTCTCCTGTCATGTGCCTTCATTTCATGATATGTGTAGAAAGTTAGTGAAATGAAATGAATGTCGTGTATGGCATTAAATAAAAACAACTGAACTTGAAAAAAAAATAACTCATATGACCATAGCAGACTATTGGTAACTAAGAAACACTGCTCACTGATGACTCTCAGCATCAACAGTCTCAGTTCCCCAATAAAAAGATACAGGCTAACAGAATGGATATGGAAACAGGATCCATCATTCTGCCACATCTAAGAAACATACCTTAGCATCAAAGATACATATCACCTCAGGGTAAAAGGATGGAAAAAGGTATTCCAAGCAAATGGACCTAAGAAGAAAGTTGATGTAGCCATTTTAATATCTGACAAAATCGGCTTCAAATCAAAACATATCAGAAGATAGGGGAGTACATACTCAAAGGAAAATTCCACCGAGACAGTATTACAATTCTTAAGATCTACGCACCAAGTACAGGGCACCCAAGTTCATAAAAGAGACATGACTACATTTTAAATCAGATATTGATTTCCACACAGTAATAGTGATAGTGGGAGACTTCAGTACCCCTCCACTATTGCCCATAGACACGTCATCCAGACAAAAGCTAAACAGAGAAATGCTGGAGCTAAATGACGTTATGAACCAAATGAATCTACCAGGTATTTACAGGCCATTTCACCCAAATACAAAAGAATATACATCCTCAGCAGCTCATTTTCCTCCAAAACTGAGCACACAACAAGTCTGAACAGATTCAAGAAAATTGAAATAACTCAATGAATCCTTTCTGACAATCACGAACTGAAGCTGGGATATCAACAACAGGAACAACAGAATGCTTACAAACTTGGGAAAATGGAGAAAATTGCTACTGAATGAAAAATGGGTCAGGACAGAAGTTATGAAAGAAATGTAAAACTTTCTAAGACTGGATGAAAATAAAAACACAACATACTAAAAATTATGGAACACAATGAAGACAGTTCTAAGAGGAAAGTTTATAGTGCTAAGGGCCCACATAAAACACTGGAGAAATCTTATCCTAGTAACTTAACCCACACACAAAAGCACTAGGACAAAAAGAAGAAATAACGCCCCAAAGGAATAAATGGCAAGAAATAATCAAACTCAGGGAAGAAACCAATAAAGTAGAGACAAACAAACAAACAGTACAAAGAATCAATGGAACAAATATTTGGTTCTTTGAGAAAATCAATAAGGTTGACAAACTTGTAGTCCAATTAACTAAAAGGCAGAGAGAGAAGATCCAAATTAACAAAACTAGAGGTGAAGAGGGGGGCATAACAACAGACACTGAGGAAATCCGGAGAATCATAAAGGGCATACTTTAAAAACTAGTACTTCGCCAAAGTGGAAACTCTAAAAGAAATGGATAATTTTCTTGATATACACCATTGATCAAATACAGCATGAGATTTCATGAGATTCCACAGAGCCTTTGCATCTGGCTTAAATTCCAGAGCGCTAGCACGGAGGCTTTGAACGACCTTTTGTTTAAAGTCAGGGATTGTTATCTGGGTTGCTCTTTGGAAGGAATTCCAGAGCCTTTGCTTAACTTAGTCTGGAGAGAACCTGGTAAACCAGGTCTCAGGGCCAAGACCTGCTTAGGCGAATGGTTCCTGGTACGCAGAAATTGACTTGCAAAAAGTGTTTTTTTAATATGTGAGAAGCCGTCAATCAGTCAGTTCATCAAAAACTGGTTCCCCTGCTGCTGTTGCTAAGCCTGAATTATGTTTTGGAGTGATCCTCTGACCCATGTAACGCAAAACACTGACAACCAAAGTTAAATAAAGATCAGATAAGCAGTTTAAGCAGACCTATAACACTTAGTTACATAGAAACAGCAATTAAGTCTCCCCCCTCCCCCAAAAAAGCACAAGGCCAGATGGTTTTAGCACAGAATTCTATCAGACTATCAAAGAAGAATTAACACCAATACTCCTCACATTATTCCACAAAATAGAAACAAAAGGAACATTGCCTAATTCTCTCTCTCTCTCTCTCTCTCTCTCTCTCTCTCTCTCTCTCTTTGGTTTTTTGCTTAAGACACAGTTTCTCTGTAGCTTTGGTGCCTGTCCTGGAACTAACCCTTGTAGGCTTCACACTCACAGAGATCCACCTGCCTATGCCTCCCTAGTGCTGGGATTAAAGGCATGCGCCACCACCACCTGGCTGCCTAATTCTTTTTATGAGGCCACAGTTAACCTGATATACAACCTGCATAAAGACCCAACAAAGTAAGAAAAGTACACACCAATTTTCCTTATAGATGCAAAAGTCCTCAACAAAGTACTTGCAAACTGAATCCAAGATCAAAAAGATCATCCACCCTGATCAAGTAGGCTTCAATCCCAGAGATGCAGGGATGGTTTAACATATGTAAATGGATAAATGTAATCCACCAGATAAACACACTAAATGAGAAGAGCCACATGGTATCTTATTAGATGCAGAAAAGGCCTTTGACAAAACCCAACATCCTTTCATGATAAAGTCCTGGAGAGATTAGGGATACAATAGACATAATTCAACACAGTAATTCATTTTTTTGAGACAGGGTTTCACTGTGTAACAGCCCTGGCTGTCAGAACTTGCTTTGTAGACCAGGCTGACCTCATACTCACAGAGATCTGCCTGCTTCTGCCTCCTGGGTGTTGGGATTAAAGACATGAGACACCAATTTACAACAAGCCCATAATCAACATCGACCCAAATGGAGAGGCTTAAAGCATTGCCAGTAATATAGTAAAAATGGCCAACCTACCAAAAACAATCTACAAATTTAATGCAATACCCATCAAAATTTCAACACAATTCTTCACAAAACTTCAAAGGACAATTTTCAACTTCATATGGAAACACAAATAAACCCAAGATAGCTAAAACATCCTGAATAAAACAAACAAAAAAACCCCAACAAACCTGCTGGAGGTATCACCACCCCTGATCTCAAACTGTGCTACAGAGACACAGTAACACAAACAGCATGGTCTTGGCACAAAACAGACCCATTGCTCAATGGACTAGAACTGAAGGCCCAGGAAGAGGTCCACATCTGATTTTTGACAAAGAAGCCAGGAGCACACACTGGAAAGAAGACAGAATACTTATCAAATGGTGCTGGTCAAACTGGAAAGCTGCGTGGAGAGAATCCATACTATTACCCTACATAGAATTCCAAATGGATCAAAGGCCTCAACATAAGGCCAGATACACTGAGTCTGATAGAAGAGAAAGGGAAATAGTCTTGACTTCATTGGAAAAGATTTTCTGAACAGAACACCAATAGCTCAGGAACTAAAATCAATAATTAATAAATGGAGCCTTATGAAACGGAAAATTTCTGAATAACAAAGGACACCATTTGGATAAAGAGGCAGGCTATGGAATGGGAAAAGTTTTTTTTTAACTAACTTTGCATCGATAGACAGCTAATATCACAAAGATATAAAGAACTAAAAAACTGGACATCAAGAAAATAAATAATCCAATTTTAAAAATGGGGAACAGATTTTAACAGAATTCTCAAAAGAGGAAACTCAAATATGGCTGAGGAACACTTAAAGAAATGTTCATCGCTGGGCAGTGGTAACAAATACCTTTCATCTCAACACTTGGGAGGCGGAGGTAGGTGAATCTCTGTGAGTTCAAGGCCAGCCTGGTCTATAAAGCAAGTTCCAGGACAACCAAGACTGTTACACAGTGAAGCCCTATCTCAAAAAGCCAGAGACAGAGCCAGAGCCAGAGAGAAAGAGAGGAATACTAAGCCTCCTCAGTCTTCAGGGAAATCCAAATCAAAACTACTTTGAGATTTCATCTTACGCCTGTCTAGATGTCTAAAATCAATAAAACAAATGACAGGTCATGCTAGAGAGGACGTGGAGTAAGGGGGGCATTTATCCATTGCTGACGGGAATGCTAACTCATACAGCCACCATGGAAACAGTGTGGTTGTGCCACAGGGACTCAATCTACTTCAGGTTCCAGCTATACCACTCCTGGGAGGAGTTGGAGGAAGAGAAATCAGAATATATTGTATAAAAAAAAAGTCTATCTGCTGGTTGGTATTTATTAACTTAAACTGAGTCGCTGGGAAGAGGAAACCTCACCTGAGAAATTGCCTCTGCCGGAGTGGCCCGTGGGCATGCTGTGGGATGTTTTCTCGACTGAAGACTTATGTGGTGCCACCCTTGGGCAGAATGTCCTGAGTTACATAAGGAAAGCAATGGAAGCAAGCCAGTAAGCAGTATCCATCTCTGCTTCCCATGCGCGCTCCTGCTTGGGTCCCTGTCCTGACTTCCTTCCGTGATGGCCACAGGGTCATGTAAACCAAGCAAACCCTTTCCTTTTACTGGTGGTTTTGGTCATGGAGCTCATCACAGCAACAAACAGCAAACGAATACAGCCCAGGGTCAGGCTGAGCTGCCCTCTATGGCAGTTGCTGTGTCCTTACCGTATGAAGTACCCGAGAGAAACGATTTAAAGAAGGAATGATTCTGTTGGTGGTGGGTTCAGAGTTATCAGTCCTCCTTGACAAAGAGGGTGTAAAATGGCTTTGTTATGGTGGATGGGAAACATCCAGGGGTGCAGACAAGATACAGACCCCAAGGACACATGCCCAGTGTGAGCCTGACCTGGTGCAGAATCACCTAGGACATGGTAAGGCACACCTCTGGGTGTGAGCTAGGGTGGCTCCAGAAAGGATCAGCCGAAGATGCAAGAGCCATCTGAATGTAGGCAGTGCCATCCCATAGCTGGGGTGCCTGGGTTTAGCAGGGAGGAAACAGAGAAAGCCAAGCACCAACATTTCCTCTCCCAGTGTCCTGGTCAGTCAAGACAAGAACTGTTCTGCCGAGCCTCTGAAAGAAGAAGCAAAGCGAACCTTCTCTCTCTCGGGTTGTTTTTGCAGAGCATTGTGAATTTCCTCTGTTTATCCTGCAGGGAAGCAACTCAAGACTGAGGGTGTTCAAAAGGGAGATGAAATAAACCGTCAATTCTGCTGACGAGCTGCTGAAACCCAGGAAAACAACTCCACAAAGCTTTAGGATGATGGACAGTGCATGTCTTTAGTACAGCACTCAGGAGCCAGAGGCAGGTGAATTCATTGCATTCAAGATCATTTGGTATACCTAGGAAGCTCCAGGCCAGTCAACGCTACACAGTGAGATACCCAAAACAGCCTAGGAAGTCCCTGAACCGACCAGATGAACTAGGCTTCCCCTCTCCAGGCTCGTAAGCAATAAGAACTGCTGAGAGACCCGCAGACAGTCTGAGCCGCGTCAGAGAGGCAGAGCTCAGCAGAATCGCCTAGCAGAGCCCCTCTGACCGTTGAGCTGCCTGCAGGCTGTGCAGGGAGCGCCAGCTGTGGAACTTTCATGAGCTGCCGTCTACTCTGGGGTGGGTTTTGGTGATGCAGCTGTCTTCGAACCATTTCTGCTTCTGTTAGTAGCCTTGCAGCCATACTCCCATGTGTGATCCTAATCAGCTCACTGATCCACATAGTCGGACTTTGGTGCTGTTCTCAGAGGGTAGATGTTTGCTCACATTTCCCCAGCGGTGCCCATGAAACACGCGATATGGTGGCCACCACGACCCAACAGTCGTAACTAACACATGCAATGACCAACACTTCTTTCAGCCAGGCGCCCCCCCCCCCGCCCCGCTAAAGTTTCCTGAACTTCCCAAAGATGGCGCCAACAGCTGGGGACCAAGGCTTTAATAGTGGTCCTTTGGAGACACTTCACATCCAAGTGTAACACACTCTTCGCTTTCTGAGAAGTTCAGATCCCATTTCCAGTCAGCCAGGCTGGTTTCAAGTGCCCTGAACTCCTTATCCCTAGACAAGTAGCTCTGAGGCACATTGTTTCCCAGAAAGACTCATAGCAGACTCATCCATGACAGAGATAACCATATCCTTCACCATCCCCACTCCCTGATAAATGACTTACATTTGACCCTGTCTTAGGGTCTACTTCTGGGGAATCCAAACTAAGAGAGTGAAATGGGGAACCCTGTCCAGAAAGCCTCAGCTGCTAGAAGTTCCCATGAGGCAGAGCCTGGGCCCTGGGTCACTTACAACATCAGCAGGATGGCTGGGATGATCAGGCCCGGATTGGCAAGGAAGGCAAAGATCTTGCCCAGGAACTTAGGAAAATCGTTCTCGATGGTCTCGTGGAGGACGTCGTACATTCTGTTTTTCCCACTAGAAAGAGGAGATGACACGCTGTGGCATTTGTGAAGATCTTGTGGCACACACAGTCATGTCCATGACCCCACCGCTCCAAAATTGCCCCTCACTGCTTTTCTGAGAGAACCAGAGCTCTGCTCCAAATGGACTAAGAAAGAAGATCCCACGAGGAGCTGCCGTTCTGCTTAGGACAGACAGCTGGGGCTGGCTGTATAGCATTCATTAGCTTCCTGCCCTTAGGAACACACAAACTCTCAAACTACACCTCTCTTCTGTGATTGACACCTCTTCAGCCAGGAAAAGGTGGATTTTCTCATACATTCTTCTTTCCTTTTAGGGAACAGGCTCTTGTCATGCTCCCGGTCTATTTCTGACCTCCTAAGATGGAGGATGCTTCTACCTCAGTCCCAGGCCCCTGGCACCTTACACACACCTCTGTGACAGGAGAAAACGGTCCATGATTTAGTTATAAGACAAACATGGAGACCTCTTGGCTCCTTGACCTGGAGGCAGCCCTCCTAAAATTAATGTGGAAACCTCACAGCGCCTCTAGAGCACACTTGTAGTTTAATCTTCCAACCAGGTTCCTTCCTTTTAATTCTTTAGAATTATTGTGAAGACTGACCTAAAAATGCTCTCCAGGGACACCTGGATACTGGTGGCTCTTAAATCGTAATTTTGGTGCTATGAAGTAGACTTAGGAGTTTGAAGATTCGGGTTCAAATTCTTTATTTGTTTTTTTTGGGGGGGGTGTTAAGACAGGGTTTCTCTGTAGCTCTTGTAGACTAAGCTGATCTTGAACTCACAGAAATCCACCTGCCTCTGCTTCCCGAGTGCTGGGATTAAAGGCATGCGTAACAGCAGCCCGGATAAATTCTTTATTTTGTAGAACACCATGAACTATCTAACATCTATCCTATCTGTGTATGTATATATATCTATGTATCTATCTTTTTTTGTTTTTGTTTTTCGAATCAGGGTTTTTCTATAGCTTTAGGGCCTGCCCTGGAACTTGCTCTGTAGACCAGAGCTGGCCTTAGATTCACAGAGATCCACCTGCCTCTGCCTCCTAAATGCTGGGATTAAGGGTGTGTTCCAACCACTCTCCAGCTCTGTCTGCCCATCCATCCGTCCATCCATCCATCCATCCATCCATCCATCCATCCATCCATCCATCCATCTATCATCTTACTGTTTGTTGTTGTTGTTGTTGTTTTGGGGGTGGGGTTAGAGACAGGGTTTCTCTGTAGCTTCGGAGCCTATCCTGGAACTAGCACTTGTAGACCAGGTTGGCCCTTGAACTCACAGAGATCTGCCTGCCTCTGCTTCCCGAGTGCTGGGATTAAAGGCATGTGTCATCACTGCCTGGCCATCTTATTGTTTTAAAGATTTCTCTTTGTTTATTATATATATATACACACACTATATACACACACCAGAAGAGGGCACCAGATCTCATTACAGATGGTTGTGAGCCACTATGTAGTTGCTGGGAATAGAACTCAGGACCTCTGGAAGAGCAGCCAGTGCTCTTAACCTCAGAGGCATCTTTCCAGCCCTTCATCTATCTACTTTTCCTGTGAATATGTATGTGTGTGCCCGTGCATATGGAGGTCTAAGGTTGATGTCAGGAGTCTTTTTCAATTGTTTTTCCACCTTAATGGAGACAGGGTCTTTCAAACCCAGAGCTAGCCAATATGGCTAGTCTATCTAGCAGCCTACTCAGAGAATCTTCTGGATTTGCCTTCAGAGGCTGGGACTCCAGGGGGGAAGCCATACTTACCCGGTCTTTATGTGGGTTCTGGGACCCTGGCTTGTGCAGCAAGCACTTTAACAGCCGAGGTGTCTCCCCTTCCTCCTTATGTCTGCGTTCATGTCCTGGTTCTTTCCACTAGAGTTGTACCATCAAATGTGACTACTACGGTAATTATAAAAATTAATTAAAGTGCAATTTTGAAATCTGATTTTTTAAAACATATATTTCGGGTGTCTGTCCACAGTCCCGTGGTGAGGAAGACTGCATTAGAAGAGTGGAAACGGGGTGCTCTCGGGACCACGGGGCTTTCTACTGCACGGGCTGAGCCTTCATCTCTGGAGAAGCTCCTGAAAATTTCTGTGCCCCGATTCCCCCTCCTCTCTACAGGCAACGAGGCACAGTGCTCACACAGTCAGCAGGTGTGTGTCATACAGTGCTGGAGTCAGCAGCTTAGCTTTCCTGTGCAAAGATCAGATTGACATGCAATGCCGCAGGGACAGGTCAGCTTGTCACCCTCGAGCTAAGATAGTTTCCTTTCTTTCTTTTTTCTTTTTACATTTTTTAAGTGGTTGGGAAAAAATCAAGTATAATATCTTGTGACATATAAAATCTGAAGTATTGTTTTTTATATTTCAACATCTATAAACTTCTGCTGGAACACAGCCGTGCTCATTCATTGGTAGGGTGTATATGGTAAGCTATAATGGCATTATATCACATATGAGATACTGGTATATATTATCCTGTAACGGCAGAGCCAAGCAGTTGCATCAGAGACCATATGTGGCTATTTCATTGCTTGGCACTGTTGTGTGGCATGCCAGTAGTCCCAGCATCTGGGAAGCTGAGGCAGGAGGATTGTACAAACCTAGCCTGAGCTATGCAAAGAGGCTCTGTCTCAAAAAAATCAATCTGCAATATTTTAGTTATGACAACATTCCTGGTGCCATGCACATCACCATGTCATAGCATTTATTTGTTTATTATCAGTACATACTTAATGTAAAAATAGTAAAAAAAAGAGAGAACTTCAAATAATATGCTCTTATGTCATTATTTTCTCTTTGAAATGTGAGTGTGGTAGCTGCTATGACAATTAGCACACTCATGGATTAGCATAATATACATGGACAGTGTTACAGCCCTGGAGGCCAGAAGTTTGAAATGGTTTCACTGGGTTAACCTAAGCTGTTGACAGGGCCACAGTCCCCTGAGGGAGACCCCAGAGGAGTGCTTGCCTTGTGTCCCTTGGCTCAAGTCTCCTTCTTTCGTATGTAAAGCCAGCATCTTGGATTTCCCAGAACGTTCTCTGCTTTCACCATCACCTGCCTTCTGTTCTCCTTTGATGGAGTCTCCCGCTTGCTACCTAACCCCTGTGGCTGCTGTCATTCATGGTAGAAATTAAGGTGTGGGCAGATGCGTGAAGAAGAGACTTTATAGCAAATTTACTCTTAATCAACTCATTCAGTTCCATCAGTGAGAACATGCTCATAACCATGATTGGTAGACCAATTTCATGAGAGAATGGCACTGCTATCATTTAATTGATTAATCACCTTCTAAAGTATAGGCTTCCTCAAATAGACATAATGGCAACTGGATTTCAACATTAATTTCAAAGACAACAAATCACACTCAAACCGTAGTAACTTGTAAAGTTTAAAATATACATGATCAGGCACCTTGCAGACAGACTCAGTTAACCAGGGCTTAGCATAACCAGAGCCTCCCGCCTGACGGTGGTGCTATAAACATAAATAAGTACTTCGTTCAGTGACTGTCCCAGTCTAAGCTTTCAGAATACCTTGGTTACCGCCACATCACCACCTCTGTCTGCACTGGCAAGTGCATGGTCATTTGGGGAATATCGTGGGTCCTTGGTACCTTTCTTCCTTTTTGGTCTCCCTTCTTCTAGCCAATTGCAAAGGCTGCTGTTGCAATTTCAACAAATCCAGAGAGAGAAGGATATAGTGATATTTTGTTTATGATCTAACAAATAAAGTTTGCCTGAAGATCAGAGTGCAAAGCTAGCCACACTAGTCAGCCATACAGGCCAGGTGGTGTTGGCACACACCTTTAATCCCAGCAGCTACACTAGTTAGCCATAGAGGCCAGTTAGTAGTGGTGCACACCTTTAATCCCAGCACTAGAGAGGAATATAAGGCGGGATGAGACAGGAACTCGCTCTCTTTCAGTCTGAAGATTTCGTAGAGGTAAGGGCTGCTTTGCTTCTCTGATCTTTCAGCTTGAACTCCAATATCTGTCTCTGGGATTTTATTAGTCATGCTATAGAAGGAAGAGTGAATCAAACTCATTCTGTCTCCCTTACAAGTTAAAAGAAAAAGAAAAAGAAAACACGAAGACCTGAACTGCAAACACAAACAAACTGCTTGAGGATTTGTGGGCAGCTCTTCTCCCCCGCGACAGACACTGCTGTTCTTTCTCAGACTCCATGTGCGCTAGGATTGTTTTTTTCTCTTCTCTCAAAGATAAGTGAATTCACGAGTGAAGAAACCGAGGCAGCCGTGAATGCACCATGTTGTTACTCTATAAAAGTGAGCAGCAGGCCTCGGAATTCTGGCTGTCACATAGTGATCTAGATCTGCAACAGATGTCCGAAATCTCAGTTCCCTGGCCACCCGTCCTGTGCTACAATAACCACAGGCGGCAGACTATCTACTGTTAAAAGGTTGTGCTTGTATCATCTAATATAGAAGTCAGCCACTTGTGGTTATTAAAATCAAAATTAATTGCAATGGAAAAAATGAGAAACGTGCAAATCAAAACAACTCTGAGATTTCATCTTACACCTTTAAGAATGGCCAAGGTCAAAAACACTGATGACAACTTATGCTGGAGAGGTTGTGGGGAAAAGGGAACACTTCTGCATTGCTGGTGGGAATGCAAGCTGGTACAACCCCTTTGGATGTCAGTGTGGTGATTTCTCAGAAAATTAGGAAACAACCTTCCTCAAGACCCAGTAATACCACTTTTGGGTATATATCCAAAGGATGCTCAATGGTGCCACAAGGACATGTGCTCAGCTATGTTCATAGCAGCTTTGTTTGTCATAGCCAGAACCTGGAAACAACCTAAATGCCCCTTGATCAAAGAATGGATAAGGAAAATGTGGTACATTTACACAACGGAGTACTACACAGCAGAAAAAAATGACGACATCTTGAATTTTGCAGGAAATGGATGGAACTAGAAAACATTATTTTGAGTGAGGTAACCCAGACACAGAAAGACAATTATCACATGTACTCACTCATAAGTGGTATTTAAGCATAAAGCAAAGAAAGCCAGCCTACAAACCACAATCCCAGAGAACTTAGACAACAGTGAGGACACTAAGAGACTTACATAGATCTAATCTACGTGGGAAGTAGAAAGTATAAAAAGACAAGATCTCCTGAGTAAATTGGGAGCATGGGGACCTTGGGGGAGGATTGAACAGGGGGAGGGGAGAGGCAGGGAAGGGAGCAGAGAAAAATGTAGAGCTCAACAAAAATCAATAAAAATGTATAAAAAAATTAAAAAATGAGAAACTATGTTTCTCAGTTCTTCATTTCAAGCACCCGGTAGCCTCAAGTAGCCGCTTGCTACCACACGGGGCATCTCCACCTTTACAGAAAATGGATAGTTCCGATGGCTTGCCTGAAATTCCATAGCTACTTATAGGCTGGCATGAAATTAGACTGAAATTCTGAGCCAGGACCCGTGGGCAGACTGCCTCAGGAGGAAAACTCTCTCCAGCAACAAAGAGTTTACCTGAAGGGGCCACAGTCAAACGAGGGTGGGAGGGACATGACGGTGTAGGCCACAGGCAGCAGGCTGAGAAAGAGCACCAGCAGCAACAGGCCCATGTAGAAGTTGTTGGATCGCGAGGCTTTAAACACACGCTCATGGGGCACATTGCTGCTCATCACCGCCCAGCACTGGAAGTACATGGAGGTCAACAGGCGCAGGACATTGATGCCAACCAGTCCTGGAGCATAGAAGGAGCCCATCCTGAAAGGTCACAGACAGGATATCTGGTCGACCTGGTGGCAGGGCAGGCGAGGGGAGGCTAACGGAAGGTAATGTGGTAGGTGTATTAGGGACATGCAGTCAAGCACCTTCCTGAAGACTCCAAGAGCAGAGGCCTCTGGTTTACCTAAGATATTTGACACAGGCCTGAGCCATCGAGTCCCCGAGTGAGGGAGATACCTGTGAGCACCACTGGCTGGGACACTGACCAGGATTTTACTACTGCTTACCTAGCAGGTTTCGACAGATCACAGTCTCTGGCATCCATGAGCAGCCAACTGGCAGACAGGGGCTTGGAGACAGTCCTTTGCATTTTCAAAATTTTAGGCTGCTATCATGCAGCCTCCAGAGGAGTAAGCTCCTTCCTTCCTTCCTCCCTCCCTCCTTCCCTCCCTTCCTTCCTTCCTTCTTCCCTCCCTCCCTCCCTCCCTCCCTTCCTTCCTTCCTTCCTTCTTCCTTTCCTTCCTCCCTTCTTCCATCCCTCCCTCCCTTGTTCCTCACTTTCCTCTTCTCCCTGCCCCATCTTTCCCCTTTCTTCTCCTCCTTCCTTACCTCTTTGCTCTGCTCTTCCTTCCTTCTCTCTTCCCTCTCCTCCCCTGCTCTCTCCCCATGTCAGCTCTCTCTAGCTCACTGGTTAACTTACACTGTTCCGCTTCTCACACTGCACTACTCTCTAGTTCTTATCAGAAACCGAGCTGAGAGAGCCGAGGCGATTTGCTGCCCCCCAAGTTCGTTGAGAGACAAAGTTGGAGGTTCTAGTTTTTTGACTCCCCAGATTATATGCTCCTCAGATGAAAGAGACAACTCACCAGATCATTCCTTGGTTGAAGATCAAACCCAGCACATTTCCACTAATATCAAACTCGGCATATGAGGGCTGGAGGGAGAGGAAGGGGAAGAGTGAGGGAGGAGGGAATGGGCGAGCAAATGTTAGGTGATTCCAGCTAGATCCTGTCCAAGTCAAGACAGCTCACCCCAAAATGCCTGCCTTGGGTTCAGGATTCTGTTTTTTTGTTGTTTTGTTGATTTTTGATAGTCTCACTGTATAGCTCAGGCTGACCTCAAATTTATGATGATCCTTAAGACTTAACTTCTCAAACTCTGAGATTAAAGCATCATACCCGGTAGTAGGATTGTTTCTTTAATAGATTTAAAAGACTGTTTCTTTTGACATGTATGTATGTATGTATGTATTATGCATATGTATATCTCCCTCTGTGTGTGTATGAATTTATTTTGAGATAGGGTTCACATAGCCCAGGCTGTGCTCCTACTTGTTACATAGCTAGAACTTCTGATTCTCTTGCCTACACCTATCAAGTACTGGGATTACAGACGTGACCTATCATACTTGTTTTATGAAGCACTGGGGATTGAACCCAGGGCCGCTGACATGTTAGGCAAGTATTCTACCAACTGTACTATCTCCCCATCCTTGTCTTCAACTTTCAAAGAAAAGTTTTGAAGTTTTTAATTAATCAATTTTTATCTTATGTGTATGGGTGTTTTGTTTGCACCCATGTCTGTGCTCCACATATATGTAGTGCCCCTGGAAGTCAGCAGAGGGCCTCAGACCCCTAGAACTAATGTTATAGACACATTAGCTGCTGTGTGAGTGCTGGAAACCGAACTCAGGTCCTGCGCAAGAGCAATAGTGCGCTTAACTGCTAAGCATCTCCTCAGTCCCCAAATTTGTGAAGTTATTAAAACTGAAGCTTTGCAACAACAACAAATTGTAATTGTTTCTACCTCTTCAGGTGGTTTTGGTTTTTAATTGTTTGCAAGATAGGGTTTCTCTGTGTAGCTTTGGAACCTTGTCCTGGAACTCACTTGGTAGCCCAGGCTAGCCTCAAACTCACAGAGATCTCCTGCCTCTGCCTCCCAAATGCTGGGATTAAAGGCACACACCACCACCGCCAGGCTGATTCTTTGTTTTGGAGAAGACTTTAGCTCTTAAGAAAACATTTAAATAATGTTTTAATCAGAAATTTACCTTAAAATTATAATCAAGGGAGAAAGCAAATGAAATGAACGAGATGTGAAGAATGAATTGAGACTCGAAATGAGAAGCTGGCTTTAAAACAAGGACAGCAGACTCGTTCCCTGCCCTTCCTCTCATCTCCCACAGTCTGACAGGAGTTTGTAGGAAGAGCACAAGCGAGTTCAGGTTTGAAGCTGACTCTTTCATAGCTTTGGTTCTCGACAGGAATCTGGAAGGACACAGAGCTCGCGAGAGCTGAGTCCTCATGGTGTGCTCAGGTCTGCTGCCAGTCTGCCCTGAAGTGGGGAAAACGGACACCAGTGGGAGAAGGGCAAGAGCACAGATGGGGGAGGGTGGGCTACGAAGTGTGAGCACAGCGGCAAAGATTTAGAGGCGTGAGGGGTGGATTTTAAGAACGTAAAATTTAAAACTGATATTACAAAAACAGGCCTGTAGGTGAAGGGAGTGAGGGATATGGTCCTCTCCCCATGCATGGGTCATTTTTATAGTTTGGTTGTGAGCCTAGCCTTTAACTGCTGAGCCATCTCTCCAGCCCCACAGCTCACTTTTAAAACCAGTTGTTTTCTTTTGGTTTTTCGAGACAGGGTTTCTCTGTGTAGCCTTCGCTGTCCTGGAACTCACTCTGCAGACAAGGTAAAGCATTTGAAATTCTATTTTATATTGCCTGTATATTTGTCTGTGCACCACATGTGTGCCTGGTTCCCTCAGAGGCCAGAAGTGGGTGTGGATCCCCTAGGATTGGAGGTTCAGATAGTTGTGATCTGCCATGTGGATTCTGGGAATTGAACCTGGGTCCTCTGGAAGAACGGCCTGTACTCTTAGCCAGTGAGCCATCTCTCCAGCCCCTACAGCTCATTTTTATAGTATGTTTCTCTTCCTTACTGATTTGAAACAGCTTCTTCATTAAACAGTTCTCCCCTGGCTTATACCAGTCTCAGGGCTTTGTCTTCTGCTCTATGGACAAACCTGTTTATATCAGTTCCCATTTAGTTACTACAGCACCATCATATTCCTTTCTGGAATAGAATCTCACTATACAACCCAGGCTGGCTCCATGCTCCTGGTCCTCTTGCTTTCTTCGTATGTGTGTGTATGCGAGTGTGATGTTTGCATGTGTGTGTGTGCGTGCATATTTTCACCCATGTGTGTGAATATTTATCACTCTCTGCTTCATTCCTTTGAGACAGTGGCTTTCGTGAAGCCGTAAGCTAGGCTGGTAGCCAGCAAGCTCCAGCAACCCAGCGTTGGGAGTACACGTGTGTACATGGCCCTGTGTCTCTTTACAGGTGTGTGCATGGCCCCTGTGTGGTTTCTACATGCCTGTTGGAATCTGAACCCAGGTCCTTGTGCCTGTGCAGCAGGCACTCTTACCCACCGAGCTAGATTTCCATCTGCCAAGCCTGGCGTCTTACTAGACTTTAAAAAGAGAGTGGTCAGTATCATCCCTTTTTTCTCTCTAAACTGTTTTCCTTTATGTTCCATATGCTTACTTTTCAGCAGATTTTATTATAACTTTGCAATCTTATAGAATTTAGAAATTACTTTGAAGAGAGCAACACTGCGCCCTCCTACCAAAGATGCCATCTTTTTTTTTTTTTTTTTTTTTTGAGCACAGTGTTCTTTCATTACTGTTCTCAGGCACAGTTACAGGTTTTGTTGGTGTTGAGGAGGGGTCGAATAGGCTTACTTCAAATGTATGCCAGAAACCTGTGGCCCTTAGTGTCAGGCTCTATCACAGGTCGAGTTAAGAGCTACATAGGTCGTCTTTTGGCAGAAACTCGGGTAAGGAGACTTCCTTTCCAAACCCAACTGATGAACAGAAGAATGAGGTGCTGTGGAAGAGAGACACTCACTGGGCCAGTGAGTGGGCCTGGGGTTCTGACATTTCATAGAAAGTCACGTGGTGAGGAACTGGCATATGCTTGGGACAAGCATTTTACCAGGCAGATGGGGGAAGAAGGTATCTCGTGGGGAGGTGTTAAGAGTCGAAGAGGTTTCTCAAAGCATAATCAGAAGACAGGAAAAGGGACATCAGGTTCTTGGTTGTTTTGGGGTTTCTAAAATGTTTTACTGTCCTAAGATTCCAGCCTTCCTCATAAGAGGTCATTTATACGCATTTATACCAGTCACCTGCTCAGGGCTGAAGAATGTGGTTCCCTTTTCCTCCAAACTGAATTCTTCCACTTAAAAAAATTAAAAACTCTTTTTTATTTTGGTATTTTATGTGTATTGTGTTTTGCCTGCATGCATATCTGTGTACCACACAAGTGCCTGATGTCCATGGAGGCCAGAAAAGGGTGTCTGATTCCCTGGAACTGGAATTACAGACAGTTGTGAGCTGCCAAGTGGGCGCTATGAGTGGAACCCAGGTCCTCTGGAAGAGCAGCCAGTGCTCTCAACCACTGAGCCACCTCCTTGGCCCCCACGCCTCCATTTTCTAGATGAAGGTCACGCTGGGAAAAGGTGGCGCTGCTTCTGTGAATGCAAAGAGGACTCTCAGTACACGTGACGAGCCACACTGCTTCACGGAACACAGACACGGAACGGACGAGAGTGCACCTGAATACGAATGCCAGAGAGTGTGGTGACCAAGCTTACTGTGGAATATACGAGAAAACAGCTTACAAAGCCAGCCTCCAGGTCCCAGCACCAGCAGTGGTTCATGAAGCGGACGAAACAAGCACGAAGGAAATCCCCCACCAGGATGGTGAGGTACGTGACCAGCATGTCAGACACAGTCAGCCTCATAAACTCCTGCGGGAGGAACAAGGGGAAAGAAGGGGTGCTTAGACGGGAGCTTGTCCACACCTCTCCTACTCGCCTGCATCTGTCTGTGTGGCCTGCTTCTTCCTGGCAGAGTGGTGGAACAGAGAAAGGACCCCAGCCTTTGGAGAAGCCTCAGCTCTATAAATCACCAATTATTTAAATAACTGGAATAATATCTGTGCCTTTAGGAGTCAGGAATATGATGCTTGCTGAGTTATTGGGGTACCTATCTGTCATGTATGCAAATTGCCTGGGTTATTAGTAATGACCAGTGCTCTGTACCTCAGATCTGCTAGACCTGAGGGCTCACCCTTTGTTTACCCCATCTGCTCTGATATCCTGATTGATCCCACTAGGACTAATGTGACCATCAATTACTTGGGACAACTTCCTACTAATCAGTTTTTTCTTGGAATAAAGAGAAGATAAACCAAAGCATCACATAACAGAATCAAAATAAAAAGAACAGAGCTTTTTCCACTTACACAGAATATATATATAATATTCTGATTTGTTTTTAACTGGAAGGATCTGCCAGACCTCTCTTATCTAGCAGTTTTTTTCCAAGATTGAAATATTCCATCCGGCAGGGAAGTTCCTTAAACAGGAAGATAAACAACTCAAAATGACTTCAGGAAGTCCCTGAAACTGAACAGTTGGACTTACGCTCCTCTCTCCCAAGAGTAAATAATAAATAAATAATAAAGTCTGCTGGGAGTCACTTTCAAGGGAGCTGACCTGCGAAGAAAACACTCAGGTAAGCTGAGCTGCAAAAAAGACCCCAAGATCAGCTGCTGTGCAGAGGGGTTTAGATCAGTTGAGGTGTCTGGAGAACTGCTCGCAGGCTGTGCGGTGTGCTCAGGTTCCCAGCTTCAGTGAGCTCTCCCCCACTCTGGGGTGGGCATCAGTGATGTAGCTGCCTTTGAGTCACTTCTGTTCTGTTCCTGTAAGTAACCTCACTAGCCTTTCCTGCAAGTAACCCTTATAAAACTCATTGGTTGGATTTGGAGGTGTCTGCACTTTGGTCTGTCCTGAGCTCCCTATCTGGGGTGAGTGGATGTGTGTGTTGCATCTCCCCAGGAAAAGTCTGGTCACACAACAACGTAATCACAACTTTAAAGACAGCAGATATAATATATGAAGTTCCAGGATGTACAGGGTCTGCTCTGTTCATCTTGGACCTTCCAAGATGATTAAGGAATGCCTGCTTGACCCCTCTGGCGCCTACGATGCTTTCCCCTTCTCTTCTGCAGGGTTCCTTGCACCACCTAATGTTTGACTGTGGGTCTGCATCTGTTTTCATCAGTTGCTGGATGAAGCCCTTCTGATGACAACTGGGCTAGGCGCTAATCTATGAGTAGAGGGGAGGGGGAGGAGGAAGGGATTGGGAGGAGAGGGGGGAGGGAAAACTGAATGGGATGTAAAATTAATAAATAAAAAATACACATGAAAAACAATGTCTACTTAATGGACATTTGAGTGTTCAGGGCTGTTTTCAAAATGGAAAGATCAAAGAAGGCACAACAAAGAACTGAGAACAAGGGTCACCTTTTCATAGAGCGTAGCTACTCACAATGCCCACGGCTGTCTCCCAGCAGGAACCCCTGGGCACGTCTGCAGGGTGTGGTGGTGGCCGGGGCACACTTTCATTCCCACCTGAGGAGTTGTAATAGTTAAACAGGGTCCAATGAGTGATGTTCTTGATTTTCTCCTCATTAGAAAGCTGGAAGAGAACATAGTGATGGGAAGTTGGAAGGAGCCAGGGGTAGTTCAACTGTTTCCATGGGAACAAGTAAAACTAGCTCCAAGTCTGCCGTTTGGTTTCTCCCTTCATACTGGACTATCTTTTAAGAAATGAACTTCTCAGGCTTTCAATCCACCAGGAGAAGGTGCAATGACCTGAAACCCCTGGATCTTCTCCACAAAGTTTTCTCCATAAGTTAGCGTCCATCAGTCCTTTCACCCATCTATCCACTCATTTGTCTTGAAAAGAGTTTATTCAGGGTCCAGTCTGTACATACATGGGAGTAGTGACATGTGAGTGTCCAAGAGAGTTTTCCCTCAGGTAGTTCATGGTCTAGTATGTAATAGAGATGACCAACTAGGAAACAAAGTGGTTTGAGCTGTGAAAATTTTCCCTAAGGACCGAGGAGCACCCTCATCAGATAACAGGGAGCACAGAGGACTTCTTCAAGGCCGTGACATCTGGAAATAGCCAACTAGTCTTGGAGAAAGGCAAGGGGTAACTGTACCCCAGAGTAAAATGTGAGGCCCAGAAGGGTGGGAACACTTTCTCGGGGAAGGAGGGAAGCCAGGGAGGGTAGAAGGACTGTGGACCAGTGCCAGGCACTCACTCACGTTGTTAGAACCTCCTAAAAAGTTCCTATTACCTCAGGGGAAAGTTCCTGCAGAAGGGTAGTGAGGTAGATGAGCGAGGAGACTCATAGCTCCCTCCACTGTCTCCATTCCTTTCCTTTCTCTCTATTCTCTAGTCATCCCAGAGTTTCCTGTTGGCACCAGCTGTTCCTATGCTTCCTCCAGTATCTGCTGAGACTCCCCAAGCTGAGGATTTGAACTCCTCCTGTGCTCTGACACACTTCCCTGGACTTGGTCCCACTGAAACATATTTCCCGTCATACTGTATTGAATGAGTCTGCCTCCTGACCCTGAGCTTGAAGCCATTTGGGACAGGACTGTGTCTCGTTCCCTGCTGTACCCAAGGACTAAACATGCAGGTGTCCCACACATGCCTGACAAGCACTGATGAGCAGTTGGGTCAACCATGACATACCGCATCAGTGGACAATTACTTGGTTATTGACTAGCTATGACAGCCATGAAGCAACATGGGAAAACCTGCATGTAAAATATTAAGAGTTCTGAATGATACAGACATGATGTGGAAAAAGGCAGCCTAGGAAAAAAAGCAGGAAAGAACTGGAGCAACTGTTTGCAGCTGAGGCCTTTGCATTATGGATTCTAGAGATCTCTCCTTTTACTATTCCTTCCTAAACTGCCAACATTTATTTAATTAATAGAAATGATGCTCAGCAAAGTTACTCTATCATAAAAGGGAATACAGTGGACTGCAGGCACCGTGGCACGGGTGGGCTTTACCTTAAGGTGGACATCATCCATGAGGGCCAGGAGAAACGTGTAGAGGTTTCCCAGGAAGAGAGCAAAGATGCGGCCAAGCTGCCACTTCAGCCCGGTGCGCGGGTGGTAATTCTCCAGGGCAGCGATGGTTTCAAACAGAGGGGGACAGAACATCCCCAGCAGAGACATCACGATCTCCACCTGAAAACATCGAAAGGAGGGGAACTTTGAAGTAAAAGATAAATGAATAAAGAAGTTAAAAGTTTAAGAAAAATGAGAGTTTTAGATAGCCATACTCAAAAAAGGATGTGACAAATTTTTAAAATCATAATTCAATAAACTCTAAATATAAAACAAAAATACAATTGCCCAAAATAAAAAAAATCAGAATGTATACACTATCTCGCTGAGACTCTCACCCAGAAAGACAAACTCCATGGTATATTCGAGTCAAGTTACTGAACTAGGAACAAAACAGTCTTCCAGCAACAGGACCAACTGATTTATAAGGAAAATAAAATTAGAGTATCATCAGCCTTTAAAAAGTAATTACTTTATTTGTTTATTTTTATACATTTGAGTGTTTTGCCTGCCTACATGTATGTGTATCCATGATGCCTTGTGCCTGCAGAGGCCAGAAGACGGTGTTGGGTCCCCTGGAACTGGAGGTACAGATGTTTGTGAGCCACCATGTAGTGCTGGAACCTAAATGTAGGTCTTCAAGATTGCTGTCAATCACCGAGTCATCTCTCCACCCTGTAATAGTTACTTGTTTTGAGACAGGGTCTCACCATGTAGCCTGGCAGTCCTGTCCTGGAACTCACTATGTAGACTAGGTTGTCCTCGAACTTTCAGAAATCCTCATGTCTCTGCCTCCTGAGTGCTGGGATTAAAGGAATGTGCCACCGTGCCTGGCTTAATTTTACCTTTTAAAGCAAGGCCTGGGACTCAGACTTTTAGGGACTTTGCTGAGTCATCAGACTTATGCTGACAGCGGAGAGATTCCAACACTTCCCCTCAATCTCGGCTTTATTGGAAAAGTCCATCTTACCTCATTCCTCTCATACCAGCTGACGTTCTTCATTTTGGAGAATTCCTGCGACCGCTTCACCACAAAGTAAATGAGGTACCCACTTCCACACAGACAGCAGAGAATGAGAAAGTTGGCCAGGACACGGAGAAATCTTGTCAGGTGGATATTTTCCTCTTTGTTACTCTCTTGTTCATCCACTATAGATTCCTTGGCATGTAAAAATGAGATATGAATAATATCAGGCCAGGAACCCAGTTACCATGGTTGAGAATCCCTGAGAATACTTTTCTGTATTTCAATAAATGATACAGAAGAGGTGATGGAATACCCTATAGAGGGTTATAGATATTTTTGTTGGAGGCTGCTTGTTTGTTCCGGCTGCCCAGAATCAAAATAATCACAAAAAGCTATATTATTTAAATCACTGCTTGACCCATTTGCTCTAACTTCTTATTGGCTAACTCTTACATCTTAATTTAACCCATCTCCATTAATCTGTGCATCACCACGAGGTCGAGGCCTACCAGCAAAGTTTCAGCACGTTTGTCTCTGGCAGTGGCAGCTCCATGGCTTCTCTCTGAGTCTGTCCTTCTTTGTCCCAGCATTCAGCCTAACTTTCCCTGCCTACCTAAGTTCTGCCTTGCTATAGATCCAAAGCAGTTTCTTTATTCATTAATGGTAATCCCAGCACACAGAGGGGACTCCCACATCAGATTTTCTATAAAAATATAACTTTACTGTTATTGTTATCTTGGGTTTGGTTATTTCGTAATAATGAAAGCTGAGATTTACTGTGTGCTAGACACGGCACTAAATATTTTCCATAAATTTTCTTTCTTCCTTCCTTTCTCTTTTCTTTCTTTCTTTTTGTTGTTTTAAACCAATAGACCAAATAAATTCAAATTTGAAAATTAATTCATTTAACTTTTTTGTTATTCTATTATTTTTATGTGAATGCGCATTTTGCCTGCATGTATGTCTGTGCCTGACTGTCTGTCACAGGCCACATGTGTGCTGTGGAGGCCAGAAGAGGGTTCAGATCCCTAGGTACTGGAGTCATAGACAGTTGTGAGCCACCACGTGTATTAAGTGAATGAAACCCAGGTCCTCTGCAAGAGCAACCACTGCTCTTATCTGCTGAGCCATCTCTCCAGCCCCTCAGATTAAAATTTTAGTCTTGAGCTCTCAAATACAGGAGTTGTCAAATATCCTATAAAATTTACATAGTGGACATTATTAGCCTGAAGTCCACGTTTCTGTTTCACTACTCACCACTGTCATTACTGTATGAAAATAATCATAGATAATATGTAAGTATTACTGTGCATGATTTTGTATCAATAAAGGTTTATTTATAAAAGTATCTGGATTTAGTCTCCAAGCTATATTTTGAAAGTTCCTGTTCTTAGGGTTTCTTAATACTGAGTGCTGGTTTTGTTTGATTGTTTTGTGTCTCATATTTTTTTTTGTAGGGGGACTTTATTGATAGACATTTATGTTTTGGGTATTATTATAAATAGAATTTTAAAATCAGTTTAATTATTTTTTGTTAATACAAAATACAATTGATTTTTGTTTGCTGTTTGTGTCCTGCATTAGTAACTATGAAGACTAGTAAGGGGCAGACGAGGATAGAAGACATGGTCTCCTGGACCGAGTGCTTGGGATGAGACCTCTCTGCTAATCCCCAGTTACTGACTTTGCTCTGATGTTTAGCTAACTCATCAGGCAGTTATGTTATGTTAGCTTGCAGAATCCTCACATCTATCCCGTTATGTGTAGGAGACACAGAGGTCCTTATGTTCACAGATAAGCGTCAGGGAAGCCAGGAATGTTAAATACAAAGGGTTGTCCCTTCAAGGGAGACATGTGTAACCTCTTTTCTGACCAGATACTAGGAATGGAGGTGGTTAATAGCCTGGTGACCTTGGTGTTATCTGTACGACCAAGACCCCACTAGACCTCCTCTAGACCCTTAAGATGTCACGTATAGTCTATAGAACCCATCTTGGAAGCTGTCACATGTGCTTTACAAAGACTTTCAATGTAGTCCTGTTTTAAGCTGTATTTTGTATATGGGATTGAGTTATTTATCACCAGGAAAATTTTCTCCAAATCATTTTCTGCTACATATGCCTAAAATAAACTACTGGGGTCAGACTCTCGAAGTCTGAACCAACGCTGGCTACTGAGCCATCCTTCCTGCTTCATGTTAACCATTACTCTGCCGGCTTGGTGATCGCAGAGACTCCCCACGGTTATGTATGCGTATTGCCTCTGCTTTCGGTAAACAATGCTGTCTTACTGATAGTTTTAGAGCTTCATAGGCAGGGCATGACCTTTGGTCTGGTCTGGAGGAAGAGTCATGGCTGTTCCAGCCTTCCCTGCCTGTGGTTGCAGATGGCCACCCACGGCTTGCTGAGAGATGAGGACAGAATTGAGTCGGCTCCCCATCCACACCCTGCCGGGTGAATAGGACTCAGGCCCAATAAACCCATTTAGTGGGTAGTAAACTCAAATTCTTTGCTGACAGTGAGCAGAAGACCATTTATCCTCCCGGGGAGGGCAGGGTTAGAAAGGGAAAATGTAAGGGAGCTAAGCACAACTATTGTACAAGCCAGTGCAGGCCTGGGGAAGGCAGCCTGCCAAAGCAGACAGGAGGAATACACAACTACCAGAGCTTGGAATTGAAGCCAGGTATAGTGGGACAATTTTCCAATTCTAGCACTCAGAAAGCTGAGTCAGGAGGATCACAAGTTCAAGCCCATACTGGGCTATGTAATGAGACCTGTCTTAAAAGCTTGTAGTTGTTTTTACAGCCACAGGGGGACAATATAACACACAATGTTTCCACGCTATAGTTTCTGCCTCTATTCGTTTATTTACTGTCTGGTTCACGGTTTTTTGATTGAGACAGTCTCGCCATGTAGCCCAGCCTGGCATCAAACTCATGTATGCCTCCTATGAGCATTCCCAAGCACCAGGATTAATAAGCATATACCACCATGCTGGTTAGATTATTTATTTTGACGGAACTATATTTCCTCAGACCATTTCAAGTTTCTTGTGAATAAAATAATGAGGATTTTAAGAGAAATGGATTGTAAGAAAGGCAAGGTTAACTCTTCATTTCCACATCTTTAAATGGGTGTTCTCTTACTTGGGAAGCTTTAAAACACAAGCAAACACATAACCTACAACAACAATGACAATGTTAGCCAATCACATCAGAATCCCGAAGGCCCTGGGCAGAACAGTTTTAAAGCCCCTTAGGCAATCCTAGCAAACATAGAAAGTTGACAGGAGTTGCCCCAAGCAAACCCTTCCATGGACTCCACCAGACAGCAGTGTCCTGAGGGAAGAGGCAGGACCAGAGTTCAGAAGTCAGGGTTCTGGTTTTATTATAACTTGATATGTCATGTATTGTTGATACCCCTGGGAGGCCTGCCCTTTTCTGAAGGGAAACAGAGGAGGAATGGATGGGGTGGGGAAGGGACTGCGAGGAGAGGAGGGAGGGAAAACTGTTGTTAGGATGTAATATGTGTGAGAAAAAAAATCTTTTAAAAAAAGGAGTCAGGATTCTCTGGTACATAAGAAAGAGTCTTAGCATGGCCCTGTCATGAGCGTCTTTTTAGGTGTGTACTGATACAGCTCCTCTCATGGCTTATTTGGAGACCTCATTTCTGCTCACCCAGCTGAGGAAAGCTTCCCAGTGGCCAGGGGGACCTCAGGAAGGAGGAAAAGCCCCAGGGTCACTACCTTGAAGCTGGTGGTGATGGAGACGTATTTGTTGTCGGCCGTCTCTGAGTTCCCGATGAGGTAGTCCCAGCTGGTGAACATCTTGAAGCTGAATGTGAAGTTGTCATTCTCCCCTTCACTGGTGCTGCCTTGGGTATTGCTGGCCATTCTGAAGGACACATATCACTGATTTCACACCTGCCTCTTTTCTGCTACATCAGCCGCCGGAATCCCTGGCCTAAGTCAGTCTTGGGCACAAGGAGAAGACGACACGCGACGGAGGGACAAGCCGGGGAGGACATCAGCTAGGACGATTTTGCTTACAGTTGAGAACTGCTCTCCCCAAATTCCCAGTTCCCTGCAAGCACCCATGGTGTGTGTTGGCAAACGAGTCGGTGAGATTTAGGACACCTCGCTGTGTTCTCTGCCCTTGCTTTGGTTGCTAGAGGTTCGACGCAGTCGTGTATATGGTCAGAGAACTTGGGAACTCCATTCTTGAACAGAAATACGTCTTTCTAAGCCATCTAATTTTCTTGGTATGCATTTTTCTGATATAAAGCTCAGTAACATGGACTGGGATGTCTCCACTGTTAGGAGGACTTGTTGATTTTACAGAGGCTCCAGGTTCTAACTATTCCCAACACCTATATGGCAGCTCACAACCATCTGTAACTACAGGTCCAGGGGATCTGATGCCTTCTACTCACTTCCCTGGCACCACGTACACATGTGGTACACATACAGACATGTAGTCAAAAGTGCTCATACACATAAAATAATAAGTGTTTTTAAAAACTCAGTAACTCTTGAGGATGTTGTTTGGAGGATCTGGGTGATATTTCCTTTAGCAAGTTTGCATGAAAGCACCCAGACCTTCCTTGTTGGCTACCTGTTTCCATCTCTCTGACCCAGCATCTTCATACTCCCTGGAGCTCAGACCTGTGGGAATCACAGAATTCCAATCGTGGATTCCATCACAAAGTGTGGGGGCTTTCTGCTCCTCCCTAACTGTGTCTTGCTGTTGACTGTTTGGACTTGCTCTCTCACAGGGCCTAGGCAATTTTGGTTCATTACAGAAACATCCCACATTCATGCACTGGACTAAGAATATGAATTAAGAGGAACAGATAAAGCTGAGGAGATGAATTCAATGTTAAAGTGCTTGGTACAGGCAAGAGGACCCAAGTTTGGATGGCACCTGTCTGCATCTCCAGTCTCCAGGATTGGGGAGGTGGACACAGGTGGATCCCCAGAGCTTACTGACCAGACAGCCTGGCTGAACTGGTAAATTTCGTTCAGTGAGAGCTCCTGTCTCAAAAAATAAGATGGAGAGTGATTGAGGAAGACACTTATGTACATGCAGAAAAAAAAGGCAGCGATGTATAAAGGCCAATCTTGACCACAGAGATAGGGAGAGCTGGGGCCAGAGAGGATGCCATAGCTAACTGCTGCCACACAAATTCTTTCGGTGTAGGTCTATTATTTGTTTCTTTATAAGTGACAGGATTGGCATTTTTATTTACTTTTCCTTCTGAGGAGGCTGAGCCCAGGAGAGAAGAAACAGGCAGCAAACTTCCAGCCACTTTATTTTTTTTTAAAGATACTTAGAAAACTCAATTTATTATGTATACAATATTCTGTCTGTGTGTATGCCTGAAGGCCAGAAGAGGGCACCAGATTTCATTACAGATGGTTGTGAGCCACCATGTAGTTGCTGGGAATTGAACTCAGGACCTTTGGAAGAGCAGGCAATGCTCTTAACCGCTGAGCCATCTCTCCAGCCCTCCAGCCATTTTATAAGCTTCTACATTCCCTCTCATGCTACAGTGGTCCTTTGCTAGTTTGGGTAATTGGATGGTCTATCTAGATGGGAATTCTAGAATTGTTCACTGCCTTTGGGTCTTTGCATGTGTGCTTTTCCCACTCACATTTTACACTTTAAACTTTCAGCATAACTGGCTCTTCTCTGCCTCGTTTAAAGGAGTTTCATTCCATAAAGCTCATTTCCCAGAGTTTCACATATTGTCTGACTTATCACTTATATTTCATAATCTGCATTTGCTAGGTAGGAGCATGAATACTGATTGTATTAGATCTAGAATCGCCTAGGAGACAAGCCTGTGGACACGATAGTGAAGGGTTATCTAGATTAGGGTAACAGAGTTGGGAAGACCCAACCGTCGATGACACTATTCCATAGACTAGGCTCCTGGACTGTATAAAAAGGAGAACGCTAAAGCTCAGGGGACTATCAATCATTGCTTGCTTCCTAACTGTGGACACAACGTGACCAGATGCCTCAAGCACTTGTCGCTAGAACTCCTCTGTCGTGATGGAGAGCTCACATAAGCCCTCTGGCCCTTACCCTGCCGTTGTCAGATATTGTGCCATAGCAGGATCAGCAGGAACTTCTAGGCTTGTAGAGCTGCCTGTTTGCTGCCTCTCAGAGTATTCCCAAGAAAGTAAGGACACATAGAGGAATCAGAGGAGTGTTGTTTGAATGAAGAAAGATTGCAACCCACAAACAAGGGCTGGAGAGATGGCCTAGAGGTTAAGAGCACTAATTGCTCTTCTAGAGGTCCTGAGTTCAATTCCTCTCAACCACACGGTGGCTTACAACCATCTATAATGAGATCTGATGCCAATTTCTGGCCTGCAGGCATACATACATGCAGGCAGAATACTATACATATAATAAATAAATCTTTTTTTTTTTAAAGCCCTACGGACAAGACACTCATACTTACGATCTAATGACAATCATCAAGCTGTAGCCAAACACGCTGACCCCCACCATAAAGTACGCCATGGGCAGCCTGTACCTCAGCCACCCGATGGTCCTCTGATTGTTGTAGTAGCCATAGAAGAGAGCAGAATATTTGATGTAGCCCTGTAGGAAAGACATCCAAAGTCTCTGGGTTTGTAATCTCAGAGGCGAGAGCGATTGCACACTTTCGTTCTATCAGGGGTTTCTGTCTCGGAGTTTTAAAGCAAGTCTACAGAGAGGAAGGATCCTACATATTCAGCTCACAGTGTCTCCAGAGGCCATCCACAGTCCTTGTCTGTTCTTTCTTTATTCTTCCACTGCAGAGTGTGTGGCGATTCCGGCAGGAGAGGAGAGCGCGTGTCTGTGTGTGAACATGTGTGCCCAGGACGCACATTCAAAAATGCAAAGCTCCAAGCTATGGTGTTCTATAGCCAAGTTCTTTTTTGGGAGTGGGGGTTGGGGAAGTTGCGGTTCAAGACAGGGTTTCTCTGTGTAACAATCCTGGTTGTTCTGGAACTCACTTTATAGACCAGGCTGGTCTTGAACTCACAGAGATCTGCCTGCCTCTGCCTCCCGAGTACTGGGATTAAAGGTGTGTGCCAGTACCATCCAGTTCCTTTTTATTAAAGAAACTTATCCTTTTCTCATACAATACATCCTGCCAGCAGTCTCGCCTCCCTTCACGCCTTCCAGTCCGCCCCCACCTGCCCTTTCCCCTAGAGCCACTGCTCCTGTTTCCCTTGAGAAAAAAAAGCAGAATTGACAAGATTTGGTAAAACTAGGCACAAACCCTCATATCAAGGCTGGAAGAGGCAACCTAGTAGGAGGAAAAGGGTCCCAAGAGCAAGCAAAAGTGTCAGAGACACCCCCTCTCTCGCTGTTAGGAGTCCCACAAAACCCCGAAGGTTTTTCACAACACATATGCAGAGGACCTAATGCAGATCTGCGCAGGCGTGGCTGCTGCTTCAGCCTGTGGGAGCCCCTACAAGACCTGCTCAGTTGTGTTCTGGTGTCAACCCCTCTGGCACCTACAGTCCTTCCTCCCCTTCTTCTGGGAAGCTACCAGAACTCTGGAGCCAGGGTCTCTTTGTTTTTATTTTATTTTTTTTTGTGCCCCCACTCCTGCTCGACTATAGCTAGGTTCTTAGTGTGCTAGAAATAGACAAAAGTTTGTGGAATTTTGTAACATTTCAAAATGACCTCAGAAAGCTGTGCAACCCAAATTTTTTCTTTTATTTTTTTAACATTTTAAACATTTTGTTTTGTTTTAATTTTCAGTGTGAGTGTGTGTGTGTGTGTGTGTGTGTGTGTGTGCAGATGCACACGTGCCAAGGCACATGTGGATGTCAGAGGACAAACTATGGGAATCGGTTCTCTCCTTCTACCACGTGGGTGTTGGGAATCACACCCAGGTTGTCAGCCTCACTGGCAAGCCCGCCCACCCTCGGGCCCTCCTATCTATCTCTCTTTTCTTCTTTACTTTCACTGGCTTTAGTATTGAGTAAACTTATAAAATAAATTAGTTAGGTATAGTATTAATTTAGATTTTAGTACTTTTTATATTTCTTTACTGAAAGCAGCATCAGGGATTGTTGTTGAATAAATTCTGTTTGTTTTTGGTAGGTAAGAGATTTCAACAGGGATTGCTGGGTAAGAAAAAAAGTAAAGAAAAGCCCTGGCAGCAATGTGGCTGGGCACCTTGGGAAATTACTCCAACTTGTCCCTCATTTCTGAGGAGACTCAAGTGTGACTCTGAGGATGGAGGATGCCAGCCCCATAGCTTGTTGTAAGCAGCACTGTTGCCAGGCTACGGTGACCTTGGGAACCCTTTGAAGTTGCAGAGGAGAGGAGGGTGAGGATGGATAGAGGGTGGACAAAGATTCCAGGGGGCGCCCACTAGCGGGATAGTGAAGCACTGCAGCCTGCTGTGTGCTCAGAGACCCCTGACTTCAGAATATGGGGCGCTCACTTGGGAGGATTTAGAGAGTCAGCGGCACACTGTTCTTTGTAAACTCGATGAAGGATATTGGCTTTAATGCCACTGGGAATGGGAAACAAGGGGCAGCCAAAGTACGAGAGGGACATGCTCCAGTTTTTTACGAAGTTCACTTTGGCAGCAGAGAAAATGAATGACGATACCGAGTACACAAACACAAGGCAGGGCGTCCTGAGGGCAGCCGTTGTCAGCTGAGCACAGCCCAGACAGGAGGGGTGGGAAAACTTTGGTTTGCTACAAGGGTCCTATCTGAAGAAAACATCGCTTTTCCACAGCTAAATGCAGCATTTGCTTTATCTACTTACTGCTAAGATGTTTCCCTAGGGTCCCCGGATGAAATGAAGGACAAAGAAAAGCCCCGGGGGCAGTCTGGCTGGGTACCTCGGGAAATCGTTCCAATCGCCCCTCCATTTCTGAGGGGACTGATACTTGACTGAGAGGGACGGACACCGGACACCGGCTCTATCGTCACAAAATGGAAGCGCATTGATACCAAGGTTTGTACCTCAAAATCCCAGAGGACGGAGAAGTCCATGGCTTTTTCTTCCTCAGCTCGAGGCACTGTCTTTCTGGGAATGCTTCCATAAGGCATGCCCATCAGCACCTCACATGGGACAGATGGCAGAGTGTAAGCGGACAAAGTGCAAAGCATAACCCCAAACGCTTTAACAAATCCCAGTTTCGTCTATTGGATGACTCTCCCTCACACCCTTTCGACAAAGATAAGAACCGGCTCAAACTTACAGATTGATTTAGGATGGATTGGCTTTAAAAAAAATATTTATTTTTTATTTATGTGTGTGTGTGTGTCTGTGTGAGTATAGGGGCCACCTGAGGACGCCAGATTCTCGGGTGCTGGAGCGGCAGGTGGTTATGAGGCACCTGAGGTGACCCAACTCCAGTCCTCTGCAGGAGCAGCAGATGCTCAACAGCTGAGCTCTCCTTCCAGATGCCAGGTTGGCTTTTGAAAAAAGGAGATTCATTTTTTCTTCCACATCGTCTTTCCACTTATCATCTTATTTTCTCCACTTTCCAGTGCCCATCTTGGAAATCTCCCAGTCTGCCAATTTTCACTAGTTATGTTATAGATTTATAGTTTTGTGTCGACATTTTTGAGTGTATTATAAATCAGATAGTAGGTGTGTAGAGATTTGTTGGCAATGTTTGTCTATTCAGTGACTATAACCAGCTCCGTAGAGTCTTATTTAAAGTTGAGCACTTTTTGGTTGAATGCATGGATTTAGGGGCCTCTGTGGTGATATTATAGACAAATTGTATTTTTATTAAAAAATACAAAATATTCAATTTTTGGATCTATTGGCTACAGTGAAAATTCCAAAAATGTTGGCAGATACTAAAGGTAAAGACATATGATACTATTCTGAGTTTCTGCAGCATCGGTTTTGATATTTCACTACATAAAGTTCTTTTCTTGTTGATTTATAGGTTCGTGATTTCAGATCTGTTCCTCCTTCCCCTCACTCCCTACCAGCCTTCTCTGAGTCTGGATTTGTAGTCCTGGCTGGCCTAGAACTTGCAATGACCCTCCTACCTTGCCTTTACCTCCTCAGTACTGGTACTGCAGGCACGTGTCACCCACACTCTTCTGTTTCTATTGATCAGATTTTAATTTACACTGTTATTGGGCAATATATTACACATAAAGCAGCATACGTAATACATAGGTACAGTCAGTCATAATAATGAAACTTCACTACTTTCTATCGAACTATTATATAGCTTTTAAGAACCCCACAGAATTGGGGCTGGGGCGATGGCTCAGTAGGTGAGGGTCCTCGCTGTGCAAGCGTGAGGGCCCAGCACCCATGCAAAATGTTGAGTACAGTCGCAGATGCTATGACATCAGTGCTCTGTGTGTGTGTGTGTGTGTGTGTGTGAGAGAGAGAGAGAGAGAGAGAGAGAGAGAGAGAGAGAGAGAGAGAGAGAGAGACTGGAGAATCACTAGGCTTGCTGGTTACCTACCTGACTCCAGGTTCAGCGAGAGAACCTGCCTGTGTTCCCCTGCTTGCTTGTTTAGTCATGTTCTCACTCTGTAGCCCTGACTGACCTGGGGCTTGTTTTGTAGTCCAGGCTTTGAACTCATAGAGATCCTCCTGCCTCTGCCTTCCCAAGCACCGGAATTAAAGCCGTGCATCACTGTGTCCAGTTGACAGACTCTGTCTTATCCATGACAAAGTGATAGATCAGGAAATCTTATGTTTTCCTCTGGCCCCTGTGCCTGTGCACAGGCACACATACTTATACACACATGTGCTCATATAATACACATGCCCCCTGACACACTACAAACAAGCAACAGGACCTTGTAAACCTCCAGAATTATGCCCTGTTCCACTTCAACAGAGAGATCATCTCCTAACTGCTTCCTTGTTTTTCCTTGTAGTTCACTTCCTTTTGTTTAGTTTGGCCTGTTTCTCTCTCTTTTTCCCTCAGGGTAAAATAAAAATATTAACTGAAATCTTAATGTTTTTACTCCTTTTAATTACAGATGAAAGGCAGAAATGTGTTATCAGTTTCTTAACTCAGAACCCTAAGTATGTTAGTTCCATGCATTGTACTGAACAACCAAGGCAACTGACATGAATGTTGAATTCAGACGGAGCTGTGCATTGTGGAGCATGCTTATAATTCAGGTATCAGGAAGAATGAGGCAGGGGGATTGTGAGTTTGAGGGGAGTCTGGGCTTCATAGCAATACCTTATCTCAAAAGAAAAAAAATTAAAAAGAATGAGAGATTATAGCTAAATAAAAAAAAGAGTGTTTGGAAAGTGTACCTGAAGATGCCGACTGTAGTAAAGCCCCAACACTATCTGAAGGCACAGGAAATTCTGTCCTTACCTCTGGGATGATGACTAGGCCAAATATTAAGCCAAAAAGGACGAGGTTAACTCCATACATCCATCGGAGAAAGATGAAGTACGATGCCACCGAAGATCCAAAGTGACCTGGGGGAGAAAGATGGCACAGTGAATGTGTCAGCGTGCCTGCAAAAGTGGTTTTCACACCGGAGTGTCAAATAAACACCCGGAGCTCGATTTTCTTATTCCAGCTAGATAACCTGAAACTCTGTGGGTAATTGAGCCACCTGAGCTCTCACATCAGCAAGTGAGGAATCTGGATTTGAATCTGGTTCCTATACTCATCCAATACCCACTTTTCCCCGATGCAGAAGAATCTATGAATTATCTAACCAGAAGGCCAAGTATACTCAGAATCTAAGCCTTGGGAGACTTCTCTGAGGAAACCAATTAAAAACAGTGATGCAATTAAAAACAGTACTGACTTTCAATGTCCTTGATCTTCATCTCCCACGGAATACACTGAGTCTTGAAATTGTCAAAGTCCCTTTTAAACTTGATCCATTTCTGAAATGAAACAGATAACACCTTCAGTCACCAACATGTTGACCTTAAACAGCAAGGGGCACAGTTGAGTCAAGGGGGATGCCGAAGGAAGTGGGGCTGTGTGTGTGTGTGTGTGTGTGTGTGTGTGCACATGTATGTACTAGTATGTGTGTGTGCTTGTATGTATGTGTGTATGTGTGTATGCGTGTGCACGTGTGTGTATGTGTGTGTGTGCGTGCACGTGTGTGTGTGTGTGTGTGCTTATATGTGTGTATGCTGAAATGTTGAAGTAAGGGGCAGAGAGAAGGGAATGGGGCTTGGGTGCTAAGGGCAGGAAGCCTGGCAGCAGTAGGGGAGGGTGCTGGGAGAAGCAGGGCAGAGGCAGTGGGGGGTGTGGGTACAGAAACATTTGCAGAGCCAGGGCTAGGGCTACAGCACAGCGCAAGTCTGTAGTGCGGAAGACAATTCAAATTCGGACATTTTGATATGAATTTTAAAATTCTGCGTACATTTTCTGGGCCCTCTGATACAACTCTCTCCATAATAAAACAAAAATCAAGGAAGAAGAAAGCTCATGACTCACTCACATTCATAGGGAGTCAAGAGCCCCGGTTCACTGGAAGAGTTGCTGAACTGTGCGGAGAGATCTTGGCCCAGGTCTGCTCATCCTTTTCCTGGTGAAATCACTGACTTTGCTCTTTGCTGGGCAGAAGGGAGTTAGAAAAGAATTCCTCCTTCCCTTGGAGTGCTACAGTTTGGAGCTTGAATGTTCCCTCAAATGCGCATGCGCGCAAGGTTTGTTACCAGAGAAGCGCTACAGAGGGTTGGTGGAAATCTTAGGTCATGGAGCCTAGTGGGAGATCTCTCGGTCACTGTGTGTCCGCCCAAACTGGACAGGGAGACCCTAGTCCTCTTCTCCCTCTCCCGTTTTTGTTTTTTTGTTTTTTTCACCTTCCGTCTCTTCCTCACTCCCTGTCTGAGACGGGTTCTTGTTATGGATCCCAGGCTTCCTGGAACTCAAGGTCCTTCTGCTTCAGTCTCCCGAGTGCTGGGGTTCCAGACATCATCACCAAATCTGGTCTTTTTTCTCTCTCTTTGTGCCCTGGACACGTGGTGCAGTACTGCTTTGCTATGTGATCCATAGACCCAAAGTAGCAAGGTTACTCATAGGTTAGGAAACTGTAAATGTGAGCCTAAATATTCGGCCCTCTTCTGAGCTATCTCAGAATATGTTACAGTCACACACACACACACACACACTTCTATCTGTAGATAACTCAGTGAACCAGAACATCACCTAACAAACAGATTTATAGGAAATAGCAAACCCCCTTCTATAATAACCTTAGATGAAAATGGCCTCATCTTACCACTAAAAAGATACAGACTAAAGCTGGATTAAAAAACTACATGTTGTCTCCAATAAACACACTTAGCTGGCAAAGATACCAAAAACTTCTAAAAGATGCAACATGAAGGAGCAAGCAAACAGAAAGCATAAAGAAGCAGGCTCCTTGGGCCGTGGTGGCACATGCCTTTAATCCCAGCACTCAGAAGGCAGAGGCAGGCAGATCTCTGTGAGTTCGAGGCCAGCCTGGTCTACAGAGTGAGTTCTAGAAAAGCCAGGGATACACACAGAGAAACCCTGACTCGATAAAAAGAAGCAGGCTCAGCCATTCTCACATTAGACAAAATAAACTTTAAACCGAAACTATTCAGAAGACATTGAAAAGGACACTACACATTAACAAAAGGAACCGTTCATATAGAAGATATAACAGTTGTAAACTTCTATGCACCAAACACTGGAGGCCTGAATTTCATCAAAGGAACATTGAAAGGTGTGACAGACCACCGAGGCCCTGACACAAAAATTCAGACTCCCCTCTGACATTTAGATAGGTCTTCCAAATGAAAATCAAGAAACTTCACAGCTGGGCCTGGAGAGAGGGCTCAGAGGTTAAGAGCACTGAATGCTCTTTCAGAGGTTCTGAGTTTAATTCCCAGCAACCACATGGTGGTTCACAACCATCTGTAATGAAATCTGGTGCCCTCTTCTGGCCTACAGGCATACATGCGGACAGAACACAATATACATAATAAATAAATAAATCTTAAAAAAAAACTTCACAGCTAAAATATACTTTGAATGAAATGAACCTAACAGACACACAGAGGACATTCTACTTAATGCATAGGGAATACACATTTTGCTTTTCTCAGCAGCACACAGAGCCTTCTCCAAAAGCGGTCAGATCCTAGGACATAAATCAAATCTAAACAAACACACAAAAAAGAGATAATTCCCTGTGTTCTATCAGACTACAGTGGAATAAAATTAGAAATCCAGACAAGAGAAACTACAAAAGCCACAAAATCCTTGGCGGCTAAAAGACAAATTTTTGAATGAACAGTGAGTCATCCAAGAAACCAGAGAAGACATTTAGAAAATCTGGAGACAAATGACAATGAAATCATATTCTGTCAGAACCTCTGGGACATAGCCAAGGCAGTCCTACGAGGGGAGTTTATAGCAATAAGTGCCCATATTAAAAAATCCGAACCAGGCAATGGTGTTTGATTACAGCAATAGGAAGCCTAGCTAAGACATAATAAATTGGTCCTAGGATCATGGAGTGCTGTTGTGACAGATCTAGCCATGTCATTTTGGGGAGGATTGTGGAAGGACTTTGGAACTTTGTTCTAGAAAAACCATCGAGTGTTCAAAGCTTAGTGAGCTATTCTGTGGATGGAACCTTGGGGATAAGCTCATTGAGAGAAGCCCGCCTTGTGAAGTTCCAAGAGGACGCTTGAGAGTCACTTAAAGACTCCGTGGAGGCCGTTGCATATTTTGAATTAAGAGTTTGTGGGTCCAGTTAGCCAGGACTGAAGAATCAGCCATGGTTAACAGAAGACTAGCACCGCTGAAATCAAACCTTTGCTTTACTCGGGCACTTGATCCCAGTTAGCTATGACTGAGAGATGACCAGCATCACTGAGGTGCAATCTGGGAAATGTGTCCTCAACGTTAGCACACAGACGCTGTGTTCCTGAGGCAGCCAAGGTTGTGCTTCATGCTGGCAGCTGAACTTGGTAGTGTAAGAGTCACCCAGGTAGTGTGCTGGGTTTGAAGGCATGAAGGGGTCACGGATTGTAGGTACACAGGCTCCCCATTTTTCCTTTTGCCCCACAGTATATATATCCGACTTATGCTTAATAAAGCTGCCATTTGCCACTTGCTCCTTGGCAGATGAGCTCGGTCTCTTTGTGTGTGTGTCATGTGTTCAAACCCCTAGGACATGCGTCCGTTCTCGTGGACTCGAGTCAGGAAAAGCGTGCGCCTGTTTCGAGGTTCGGGTGTCCACAGAAAAGTGCGGAAGCTTACAGATGGCGTCCCTGGGTGGGCTTTGAATAAGGACTGAAGAACCGCGTTCTGCTGTCTGTGGATCTACCACGAGAGCTCCAAAGAGGTAGGGGTCCCCCCACGATCCGGAATCTGGCCAGTTTTGTAGTGTGCAATTGTGCACATGTGATAAGGGGGTGAATAGTTTGATTTTTAGAAGTATGGGTGCCGAAAGGTCTGATCCAGAGCTGAAGGCCAATGGGCAAATCAGCTGCTAAAAATTTGTAAAGAGACTAGGTACCAGGATTAAAATGACACAGCTCAAGAGACTGTTTAGACTATTTTAAAACTCAGTCCCTGACTCTCATATGCAGGGAACTTTAATTTTTGCCAAAGAGAACAGGCTGGGTGCAGCTAGCTCCCAGCTGAAATCCGTTCCCAAGGTTACAGGACCCAGGACCCAGCTTAAGCAAGCACGCTAGCAATAGCCGATGGCCATGTAACTGCGGGCCTCGGGCTGAGAAAATATTCAAAGGTGTGTCTAACAATTCTATTAAAAGTTTTTGAGTAACTAAAGGCAAAAGAGCCAAAAAGAGAGAGAGTTTTGACAAAATAAGAGAGCGCAGCAGCCTTGAGCCCCAAGCTGTAGATGGAGCTGGGTATTACCCGCAACTAATGAGCTACATGCTAGACGGAATGTGATCCGCCTGCACGGAGGCCGATAGACCATACAGGGTCCATACACGGGACTCTGGCAGGCTGCGCGAGGGCGGCTGGCAACTGTAGGAGTCCCAGGAAATGCCGCTATGGCAAAAGGTGCCTGCCACAAGTGGGCGGGCTAAGGGCAGGTTTACATCGGAGGCTATGTGTAGTGTTATGTGAGGCTTGGAGCGAAGCCAACAGAGCAAAGGCTGCGCACGCCCTAGACTAAGGCCGAGCCAGACACAAATGCCTTTAAGCTGACAGAGGCCACGAGCCTACAGTTTTTTGACAGACGGTTGCTACCTTTGGGTTAGCTCAGAAAGCGTGCCATAGCTGGGGAGCTGCTCCAGCAGGTTGCCGCTTCAGCAGGTTGCCTGTATCCTAGATAACAAAAGCGGACCTATAGCCTGGGGCAATGGCAGACAACGTTAAGGCTGCTAGGTCAAGGATTTTCCATCTCAATAGAAAGCTAAGAAATGGGTTGGATCTAGCCGTCAAAGCCACGGGTCTCCATATTGCTTAGTAAATTAAAGGCTTATGTAGTCAAAAAAGGAGAGATATACAGTAAAGAGAGATTCTAAGAGAAAAAAAAAACCTCTAACTGGTTTACAATGTGCTAAAAATATATGCAGGCTAAAAGTTAAAGTTCTTTAAGGAAGAGAGTAATTGGGTGTGGTAGTACACACCTTTAATTCCAATGCCTGGGAGGCAGAGACAGATCTCTGTGTATTCAAGGTGTTGTAGCACACGCCTTTAATCCTAGCATTGGGAAAGCAAAGACTGTGGGACTCTATGAGTTCACGGACAGCCTGGTCTACAGAGTTATTCCAGGACAAAGATGTACGTTTGAGGAGCTTATCTACAAAAAATCATAACTTCCCTCTGCTCCTGGAGTTGGATGAGAAAGTTTGAGTGCAGGTGATTATTCCTTGGTCCCTGCTGGGGTCAGATGACAGTCCCTACTGGGGCAGATGAA